CCTTGAGTTTTGTCAACCCCCCCGCCCCCGCCCATGAATGGCTTTGCTGTCCCTCTGGGGTCTACACAAGGGGCTTGATTGTGTGTGTGTGTGTGTGTGTGTAGCCGTGTTCTCTTTATTGGTGGGCAGTCACTTTCATTCTGTAGGATCCAGCTAATTGTGGTGTAGAGTTAGAGGCAATGAGTATCCACAGATTACCCCTTAATGTAAATAGTTTATCAAAATTATAACTAGACTGTAACTAAACTGTCATTTTCTTTGTTCCTTTTTCTGCTAAACATAGACCCTTTATAACCTGGGTTGCAGTAGTGGTTGTTTTAGGCAAAGCCAAGTCCATGGAAATTTAATGTATGGGGCAAATATCAGAGCTTTGGGAAACCCTTCCGTGGAGTGTAGAGTGAGGGGTCTGGAACTATTTTAAGACGTTCTTTTGAAGGATCAAGTCACTCCTGGAGGTAAGCCATGTGCAGGAGTGAATGGTAGGTGCAGGCTGAAATAGCGGTATTTACAGACGCTGTTAGAAGCCCCTGAGGTGCCGTAAGCAGCACACATATATGGGAGCACTGGTTGAGCTGGCCGCCTGCATTTCCTTGGCTTCACCCTCACCTCCTAGGAGTGTGCCAGTGGCTCTTCGTTGCCCTGTTGCTGTGGGAATCCAGGAGTTATTTATTGGTGGTAAGAGTTCCCTGGTGTATCTTGAACTTGCCACCTCCCACATTTCTCCTTTAAAGCTCCTGGGGGTTAAGGAGGAAAGTACGGAGAGGTTTCAGGGAGATTTTAACATGTGCCGTCAAGAAAAGGTAGGATGCTGATGCCTGATGCTCATAAACTGGCAGCTGCCTCCCCTTCCAGCCGCAGTCCCGGCCTGGCTGCCCCACTCAGTATCCTCCTCGCCCCTCCTCCATTTTCACGCCCCCATCAGACTGTTCCTGCCTTTCTCAGTAGTCTGCCCTGAGAAGTCAGCTAAGCAGCCTCAGGTTTTCCTCTAAGTGTCTGAAGAGGCGCAGGTTGGCCACCTGTCATGCTTTCCTTCTGCCTCACTCTCACTCTCCGTTCTCCAGGGGACACGACTGCATGGCACACACCAGGTGTTATGTTACTGATGCCCAGCAGGAGTGCTCCTTGGAACAAGGCAGTCCTGTCCCAGTGGTCCCCATATGCTGCCAAAGTCTTTCCTTGGTCAGCTTGACTTTCTGATCTTTTAAGAGCAAATCTTCTTCCTCATGGCCCAGCCCCAAAGCACCTGTGATGGGTGAAAAGTGTCTTAACGTGCCGAAGGATAATGTTAGCACCTTCATGCAGCTCCTGGACGCCCTTTGCACAGTATTGTGTGGTTACCCCTGAAAGATGACTGTCCCAATGAGGCAGCCCTGCTTTGGAGGAAGTGATATTTAAAACACGTTTCATCAACTACAATTTGACGATGAATTAATTTCAGTAATTATTATTGTCACTTACGGTGAAGTTTGTAATTTTAAGTTTTTATGATTATTCTTATTTCCCCAACTGGATTATAATCTTCATTGAAGGCAGGGAGCCTGCTCATAAGATGCCGCATATAGCACAGTCATTGTACATAGAAGTTTCACAGTAAATTTAGTCTTATTAATGGAGCACTATAATGGACATTTTTGTTTGTTTGGGGTTTTTTTTTTTTTTTTTTGGTGAGGAAGATTGGCCCAAGGCTAACATTCATTGCCAATCTTCCTCTTTTTGCTGAGGAAGATTAGCCCTGAGCTAACGTCTGCACCCATCTTCCTCTATTTTGTGTATGGGATACCGCCACAGCATGGCTTGATGAGTGCTGTGTAGGTCCGCGCCCGGAATCTGAAACTGCGAACCCCAGGCCGCCGAAGCGGAGCGTGTGCACTTAACCACTGTGCCCCCAGGCTGGCCCTACAATGAATATTTGAAGTCAAAGAAGGACACAGAAAGCTGCCCCAATCTTGGCCTATTGGCTTTCTATTCTCTCCCCACTAATAGAAGTTCACCACGTGTCCCTGGCAGTCAGAGGGCTGCCATTTTGTGATTTAGAAATCATAGGGGGATTTTGCTGGGAGGGGACCCCACTATTTTTAGAGATGAGGGGAGTGGCACCCCGTGTTGCAGAGCTTCAGCAGTACCGTGTGTGTTTGTCAGGTTTTGAAGAAGCTCCTGGAGTTGTCTGTAGAGGCCACCTTGTATCAGAGGAGCTGTCATTTAAAAATCACTTTATTACTTACTGAATCCATATTAGGGCATAAACAGAAATAAAAATTTGTCCCTTCCCTTCCCATCTGACTATCCTGATGAATCATTCTTCCCATTTGTCTGTGATATTTTATACTCCTCACTTGCAGACATCATTGCTGCATAGCTGGAGTCTAGAGTAGGCTATAATTTTGTACTTGGTGTTTTTTGCCCTTTCAAGGTGAGGTTATAAGCTTTTCTGGGCTGCCGCAGTCTTTGTCGTTGTTGACGGCTTAACTATAGCACCAAGTGGATTACAATTAATTATTTGACCACTCAACAATTAGCTTCTTTTTATTGTTTCACTGTTATAAAGAATGGGCAGAAGACAAAGGGAGCTCTTCTCTGTTCATTTTGACCTATGTGTCAGTCACTATGCCAGACACTTCATTATCTCATTTATTCCGCTTAATTATTTATGGAACTGATACTCTGGTTAAGCAACTCAATAATATGAGCTAATGTTTATTGAACTCTTACTATGTGTCAGACACTTTGCTAAGACCTTTTCGTATAATATCTCACATCTCATTACTCCCTATGAAGAACATATTACATTTCCACGCTGCAGGGGATGTTAAAATTTCAGGGTTTGTTGAAATACCTTGCCCAAGGTGACACATCGAACTTGGAGAGGACAGATTTGAACCCAGGTTTGTCTGACTGTAAAACTCATGGTCAGTATAAAACTCACGGTCACTCCATGGGGGTGAGTTTTTTCCTCCTGTTTTTGTTCTTGGCTGTGTTCCCAGTGCTGAGAAGAATGCCTGGCACATAGTTGGTGCTTAATAAATGCTTGTTGAACGAATGACTGAATGGTTTTAACACTGTGTAAGCAGCCAGAGATCAGGTTTCTTCACCTTCAAAGACTTCAATTAGTCTTTGTTTTTCCACTGCATCACTGTCTCAGGTATAGGTGAGTAGAAAATAAATTTGCATATATGTGTACACACACCCAAAAGAATATATATTTATAAATTTGTGTTTGTATATGTGATGTTTTTCTTTCTTTTGATTTATTTTGTCAAGATACATTGTAAGAAATGCAGTTGCTGAGGCAAATTGTAGAAACATTTCATAAGTTCTTAAGACTATACATTAAAAGTACTTTTTGATGCTTCAAGTCAGTGTGTCTTGTTACTAGATATGCAAAAATAGTCTAGTGTCACTGTTACTTGTCAGCACTGTTTAAAAATATTCTTTACTAATTTTATGTAAGAGTACATTGCTACCTCAGTATTTTAATTTGTTTCTGTTTCATTATTTGCTTTGGGATCTTTTATGAACTACCTGTTTAGCAAGGTACCATGTTTGTTTTGAAGCTTAGTGCTTCTAACTCTTAAACATGAATGTTTTTCAGGTCCCAGACCAGTTGTGTTCCTGCAGCATGGCTTGCTGGCAGATTCCAGTAACTGGGTCACAAACCTGCCAGACAGCAGCCTGGGCTTCATTCTCGCAGATGCTGGTTTTGACGTGTGGATGGGGAACAGCAGGGGAAATACTTGGTCTCGGAAACACAAAACTCTTTCAGTTTCTCAGAATGAATTCTGGGCCTTCAGGTATATTCTCATTGATTATGACAGGGGTCTGTTTCCTTAGGACCCTTAACGCAGTCACACGGGGAGGCAGATAGATGGGTAACTCAAGATTATGTGAGAGGGGAGACTGATGGCTCGTGAAAGATTTTAAACCTTGTTAGGAATTTAATAAATCACAGTAAGGTAAATTATAAGTAAATGATTACATTTAAGAATTAGATTCAATTTGGGATTTTTAGTTATTTTGGTATTCCTGGTGGTATGGGAGCTGCTTGGTAAATTGTGTCCTGTAACCTTCTTCCTTCCTCCATAAACATGCACTCCAAATGTTCACTTTTTTACTTCCAGAAACTCTCCTCTCTCTTACTTCTGGCTCTGCCAGTTAATCACATATGATATTGGGCATGTTGTATCAGCCTCTGTGTCTCAGTTTTCTTTTTGTAAAATGGGGATAATAAATACCTATCTCATCAGGTCACTGGGGGATTAAAGGAGAGGATACAGGGAAAGAGCCTGGCACATCGTAAGTGGGGGTAACAATCAGCTCATCCATTTCCTGATGACAGACACACGCACATGTGCACAGGTCCAGGGCTGTGTCAATACCAGGTATTAGAGAAGGTCGGTACTGTGGGCCCCTCAGGCTGGCTTCCCATGTGTAAAACCAGAGCCTAGCTAAGGATATGAAACACAAGAATGAGAGCTTTTACCAAAGGCACATACAAGAATGTATTTGTCACACTATTTGTAATAGTGAAAAATTGGAAACTACCAAATGCCCAGCAGCAGTGAATGGACCAATTGTCTTGTATATTTACACAGTGAATAACCTACAACTATGTGCAACAGCACAGGTGTAGCCAGATACAGAAGAATACATACAAGAATACATACATAATGTTTGATCCCATTTATAGAAAAGTTCAAAAATGGGTAAAACTAATTTATGGTGAAAAGATGAAGATAATGGTTACCTTTGGGAGGCACGATTAGAAGGGAGCACTGGGGGGGTTCTGCGGTCCTGGTAATGTTTCCTGCACTCAGGGCCAGCTTACCCAGCTGTGTTCAGTCTGTGATAACTCATCAGACTGCACACTTACCATTTGTGTGCTGTTGTATTTGTATGCAATATCTCTATGAAAGAGTTGCTTTTTTGAATTACAGTTTTGATGAGATGGCAAATTATGACCTACCAGCTTCTATTAACTTCATTCTGAATAAAACTGGCCAAGAACAAGTGTATTATGTGGGTCATTCTCAAGGCACCACGATAGGTATGTATTTAATAAAGATTGGAAGTTAATGTCTTATTACAGAGTTTGCATTTGTTCTTAAAAGTGAAATATAAAAAAATAATGTTAGTTCAAATACAGTTTTGTTTTTGTTTTTTAATGCCAAGCAGAAATAATGAATAGGGTAAGGAATTTTGGTAGTATTTAGTCTTTTCTGGAAATTCAGACGTTAACATAAATAGGTAAACATGATGTATGGTTTTCTTGAAATGGAAGGAATTAACCTAAGACAGCCTATTATGTATTTTCCTAGTTAAGCAATATGGGGATGTGAGAGGGGAGAAAACAAGAAGTTTTATCAGTGCAGAGACTTTTATATAGAAAACAAAAAAATACACTGATTTTTGAAGTTAAGTGGAATAAAACTACTAGGATGCTGTGTTACACTTTATTTACAAACAGTTTTTAAAAGTCATATGCATTTTTTATTTATGCTGATTATAAAAGTAATGTGTGTTCATTATAAACAAAAATAGAATACTTAGCAAAGTTTAAAAAAAAATAAAAATTGCCCATAATTCTAGCAAATAAGAGTTCCTCTGATTAGGGACTTGGGGCCTGTCCCATAATTTATTCAATTCCCCTTTTTGGTGTTTACTATGACTAATATCTTTGTGTTCATCACATGATCTCCTTAGAATACGTTCCTAGAAGGAGAATTACTATATGAAAGGTGTGAATACTTCTAAAATGTCTTGATATATATGGTAAAATTGCCTCTCACTGTCACGGACACTCTTTGCCAGTTTGAGAGGCTACAGACAAAAAGTAATGTGGATACATTTGCCTTTCTTATTAATGGAGTTAAGCATTCTTCTTCATTTATATTCCTTCTTCCATGACTTGTCTACTTGTGTCCTTTGCCCCGCTGCTTTCTAAAGTGACATTCTGGGGCCAAGTTTAAGGCAAGAAGTGACCTGAGAGGAAGCTAAAAGATATTTTAAAGCTAGAGCATTCTAAATGTGTAGGGTCCTTTTGAGTCTTTGGTGATCTATTTGAAAGCCTCTGTAAATCATTCTCAGGGACAGGCCGAGGGGCAGTGGGGCGTGGCGGTGGGGGGTTAGAGCTGTTAGGAACAGTACCGTCTTTCCTTCCATCGCCTTATACTATTAAAGGTACATGGAACGTCTTCTGGTTCCAGCAACCTGGATTTCTTCCAGTGCATATCTACATTGAAATTTGAAACAAGCACTTAACAAATACCTGATTTACTAGTTTAATCAAAGTCAGTGTTTGCGCTCATGGAAGTTCGGAGGGCGGTGTTTGAAGTGTTTTGCCCCCTGGTGGCCATGTTGCATGCATGGTTTTCAGGTGGCCACTAGAGGGCGAAAGGCATGACTGTCGTTAGCTTTTCAGAGAAAGTCCTAGAAGATGGAATTTCTGTTATCTTCCTTTTGTTCCCACAGGTTTTATAGCATTTTCACGGATCCCTGAGCTGGCCAAAAAGATTAAAATGTTTTTTGCCCTGGCTCCTGTGACTTCAGTCAAGTTCTGTACTAGCCCCATAGTTAAATTAGGACAATTACCAGATGCTCTCCTTAAGGTACTTGGACTCCAACCCCCTATCCCCACCCCTGCCTTGCCTCACAAATTTCCTTTTCAGATCTGAAGAATTGGCCATTAAAGGAAGAATCTGTGCCTTCCTCCTGTATATTTTCTGTCAGTGGAACAGTGGGATTTCTTCTCTGCATGGTTTTTCTTCCCCCCTACTTCCAGATCCTGGGGAGTCAGGGAAGGCATATCATTAATTCTACACCAGAGCCCCACATTGTCGTGGTGAACATATCAGCGCAACTCTCTACCCGCCACTAGAGAACACAAGATAATCTGAGAGAATGGAGCTTAAACCTTTATTCCAGGTGGGGAGCCAGTGCATAGGAGTAGGCGGAAGATGGGAGACAGGAAATGTGCCGTTCCCACGGCTGACCCTGACCACGCTGAGGGCAATCTAAAGACATGGTTACTATTATATTTTATAATGTGGTCCCTAAACACAAGCCAGTAACTTCATCAGGGCTCAGCCCTAGAGCTATGTGATCCCCAAACTCTGTTCAAGGAGGAAGCAGTTTTTACAAGAAGGAGTTGAGAATCAGCTGAGGCCAGATGGTCCATTATGCATGTACTACATATGTTTTGTGTATGATATATTTATACACACACCCACATGTGAAATATCCTATAGGAATGTATACTTAAAATCAAGTATAACATATTCTATTAGCCATTTAAGAGACTCTCACCACAGGAAATACAGACTATACTCTGACCTCAGAATCTGACTGTCACATAAAATGGAATTCTCTGCACTGGTGACCAGACATGCAGATAAGATGTGGCCACCCAACTAAGTTTATTTGTAATGTCTTGGGTAATAGAAGCATGGATTTTCATTATAAGCAACTCAGAGGTTACAAATAGTACCCTTCAACTAGCAAGGCTTCTTTTAGTGCCTTCCTCAGAATAAAGCACAGTACTCAGTTTGGGATCTTTTCCTATAGACCTTGTGTGTGAATTTACATACATATATAGGTCCAGAGAGAAAGGTATCATTTTGTTTTAACATTGATGGTATCCAACTATGTATGTTGTTCTGCAGACTGCGTTTTTCATTCTTGGAGAGCTATCATGGTAATACATAAAGCTATCACATTCTTTTTAACTGCTGCATAGTAAGTTTTCCATTGTAAGGAACTACTGCTTTTTTAACCAGACTCCTGTGGTAGACATTTAGGTTGTTGCTAATTTGCTGTTGCTGTATCCTTGTGCCTTTTTTAATGGAGAACTGAAATTGCTGTGTCATAGAAATGTTTTTAATTTTTTTTTTTAATTTATTTTTCCCCCAAAGCCCCAGTAGATAGTTGTATGTCATAGCTGCACATCCTCCTAGTTGCTGTATGTGGGCCGCGGCCTCAGCATGGCCGGAGAAGCGGTGCGTCGGTGCGCACCCGGGATCCGAACCCCGGGCCGCCAGCAGCGGAGCGCGCGCACTTAACCGCTAAGCCATGGGGCTGGCCCTGGAATGTTTTTAATTTAATTTAATCCTTGGAGACTGTAATTTAGTGGCTTTGTAAAGACACAAACTCCCGCTCCCTCCCTTGGAGATGGTGTTTTGTTAAATCTGGAGTGGAGCCCAGGATCTGTCATTTTACAAAGCACCCTACATGATTCTAATGTAGGCTAAACAGACTGATATTTCCAGACAACAGTGTTTTATAATATCCTGGGACAGTGACAAGTGAAAGAATGAATGTTCATAAAACTTTGGAATTAGCTGCTCTAAGTATATGTTGCCTCCATGAAAGTTGAATATCTTAACTTTTTATCAGAATACAAAGGTACAAATTGTAAAGACATCACACTTGATATGAGGAGGCCTATAAATGTGTAATGCAAATTTTTTTTTCTGTATATGCTGTCCTGCTTTGACATAATTTTCAATGGAGTTTGCCGTAATAGTGTTTGAGTAACAGTTCTGAAGTACAAGGTCAACTTCACATACTTTGTTGGTCAAAAGGAAAGCTTGGCTTATTGCGATTTAAGTCAATGATGTATTATCCTATTGTTTTTAGTAGACAACCTCAAAGATATATGCATTTGTCACATGTGACCATTATGTAGTCTCAAAGCCAGGGGTTTTAAATACTGATGCCTTTTCCTGTTGCATGACATCTGCAGGTGATATTTACTTGGTTCTCCCTAGCTAATCTTAGTGTGATTAGTCTGGAGAAGAGGAACATTCGAGGAGGCCTGGTATCTGTTGGTTGTCTTGTAGAAGATGGATCTGACAGAGATCACAGGCTGTGTGTACGTGGATAGAAATTGCCTGAAGAAGTCTTGAATATGGTCCATACGATGTTATAATTTTAAATTAGTGGCACGTTTTAAAAAGCAGGATATTTAACATTGAAATCTTGATAATAGATTCTTTTGGGGGGAAGGAAAAGGAAGCTGTGTGCCACAAAGCAGTTGTACTCGTTAGGTTGAGCAAAGGCTTTCCAGTTCACCGCAGTTCTCCACCCTCCCTAATCATCCCTCTGGGCAGGGTGGCACTTTCCATTTTCTGCATTACTCATTTATATTTACATGCCTGCCTGTATTAGTTTGTTAGGACTGCGAGGGAGAATCTGTTCTGTGTCTCTCCCTAGCTTCTGGTGGTTTGCTTGGTGTTCCTTGGCTTGTAGAAGCATCACCCCAATTCCGGCCTTCATCTTCACGTGGTGTTCTTCCTGTGTGTGTGTTCCTCTGTGTCCAAATTTCCCCTTTCTATGAGGGCACCAGTCATATTGTATTAGGGCCTACCCCAATGACTTCTCTTAACTTGATTACCTCTATAAAGACCCTGTCTTTAAATAAGGTCTCATGCTGAGATACTGGGGTTTAGAACTTCAGAATATCTTTTTTTGGGGGCGGGGGCGGGAACACAACTCAATCAATAAAAGTGCCTTTATAGGCATTTGAATTTTTCACTCCTGCTTGTCCCTGCAGAGGGTAGGCATCACCAAAAGTTTAAATTATAAGGGGACAAATTTGGGTTCAATATAAAAAAATATCTTTTTCCTATTATTGCACGAGTACATGAAGATCTGCCTTGAGGGCATAGTGATTGGTCTGGAAATACTTGAGCATGAGTTCAGTGGCTATTGGTCAGGGCTGATATAGACCAGGAGTCAGCAAACTTTTCTGTAAAGGTCCAGATGGTAAATATTTTTAGCTTTGTGGGCCATATGGTCTCTGTTGCGACTACTAAACTCTGCCATCATAGCGTGAAAACAGCCAGAGACAATGTGTAGAGAAATGAGTGTGGTTGTGTTCCAGTAAAACTTTATTTATAAAAACAGGCAATGCTGGTTGGGGAGGAATGGGGAGTTATTGTTTAATGGGTACAGAATTTGAGATGTTGAAAGAGTTATGGAGATGGATAGTGGAGATGGTTGCACAACAATGTGAATGTACTTAATGCTACTGAACTGAACACTTAAAAATGGTTAAAATGGTAAATTTTGTGTTATGTGTGTTCTACCATAATAAAAAAAAGTATTAAAAGAAACAGTAGCAGGATTTGGCCCACTGGCCAGTGGAAGTGGATTAGGTGATGTGCTCTAGGCATACCACTGACCAATCATAGTTTCGACTTTTTCTCGGAAGTCACTACCAGTCCTTCCAAGTCAGATGAAACTCTTTGGGGATGGCCCTGGGGTGAGTGATCATGAAGCCCTTTCCCCTTGTAAAAGTCTGCTGTGAACTTACTTGATTTTCTGCCTCCTTTTCTTCATTTGAGACGTTAAATACACACCTATAATGTCTGCTTTTACCTTAGTAAACATGTTGCGTAAGTTTCCGAGTTTGAGCGTCCACTGGTTATCCTTTCTCTCCTGGGGCCATCCGTGGAGATACTTGGCACATGTCTCTGCTTCTGAGGTGGGTCATGGAGGCCAGTGTGCTAGAATGAAATGCTGAGGTATTCTTGGATTTCTTTTTATTTTGTAGGACTTATTTGGGGTCAAACAGTTTCTTCCCCAGAGTAAGCTTTTGAAGTGGCTCAGTATACATGTTTGCACTCATGTCATTCTGAAGGAGCTCTGTGGAAATATCTTTTTCATTCTGTGTGGATTTAATGAGAGAAATTTAAATATGGTATGTATGTTTATAATAAGACTTGCTTTAAATTTTCACTGATTTTATTCTAACCGGTAATGTGCTTATTTGTGTTGGAGGATATGGGAGAGGCAGGCAGGACCTCACTAGAACTCTAAAGGGTTTCATTTTAAGAGGCTCAAGAATCAACTTCGGCAAGTGCCTGGAATACCATCCGCTGCTATCCTCAGGCCAGCCATTGTCAACTTCCTACATTGTACCTATATTGAAACTATTGAATGAGGAGGTCTGTCATACTTTGTCCCAATATTTATATTTATTCTAGTGATTTGATTCTTTAAAAAAATTACTATGTGTGTTTAAATTTAGAATGGCCTTTTATTTATACATTTATTTACTTTATAAAATGTAAACCCTTGGCCAGCAATATGCTGGTATTTCTAAAGATATTTGTAGTTTGTAATGTAGCATTTTGAAAACAGGTTTTAAAATTCTGGAATGAAGGCTCTGTGGAATTTTTTTAAATGATATTAATTTTTCTTGTTTCTGATGATAAAAGCAAGGTGTGATTATTATTTAAAATTTTGGAAATTCAGAAAAGTATGAAGAAGAAAATAAAAATGATCAATAATCTCAACTCATATAGCTCCATGGTTACCATGTTGCTATATTTCCTTCAGATGTACTCTGTATGTGTGTGGTTGTACATATTTTTGTTGGACATGTTTTATAGGACAAAATTGTTTTCTTGCTCTTGATCTCATATATTTGATATTGTGGCTCTATAGTCTTTAATGCTTTAAAGTGCAAAATATGTTATTATCAATGCCTCCTTAATGCTGTTTTCATTCTTTATTTCAATTTATTTTGCAGTCTAGAGTGGCTGTGTATACAACACACTCTCCTGCTGGAACTTCTGGGCAAAACATGATACACTGGGCCCAGGTAGGCATTCCAGGAGTGCATTTGGGGTTTGTGTAAAATCAGCTTTAGAAAGATCTGTGCATTTCCTGAAGCACCTCTCTGCAAGCCCTTCCCCAATGGAAAGAGTCTACTTACAAATCTGAGCTGGTTTCCTTCCCCAGAGTTCTGGATTCCTGTCGTCGTGTTTGTGTTCCTTTGTTATCCTTCCTGGGGCAAACTCTACTCTGCGTGAGTTCACCAAACAGCTATTGGGATTGACTTCTTTCTTTTCTTTCCCCTTCCTCTGTCAGTTTTTCATTGAGTCCCAGGTTTATTTTATTTCTGTGTTGCTTCATAAAGCCAGATTTTAGAGCAGCTTTAGCCTAGAAGCTGCTATTTCAACATTAACCCACGGACGTAATAAGCCTGAAATATCAGTGGAGCTAAACCAATCATGGACGAAAGTGGGAGCCGCTAACTTTTAAAACAGAGTTTTATCACATATCACAAAAGTAATGCATGTTCATTCTAGAAAATTTAGAAATTACATATAGGCAAAAAAATAATAAAAATTCTCTTAAGGTAAAAAATAAAATTATTCTATAATCTTACACAGAGATAGAGGATGTGTATCCAAAGATATGAGATGTCTGAGTTCTAGTCTGTACCTCTTGCTGCATATCATTTCAGAAAGAAGTTGTTAAAGGTATAGATGGGAATGATAGTTGTAGAAATAGATTAAATTATTTTCTTCTACTTTTTTGTAACTTGCTTTTTTTTTCCTTTCCACCTAACAGTATATCAGGGACTTATTTCTACCTCAGGACATATTTTTGTACAATTGTTTTCCCTTTAAATTCTTTTTAAATAAGAAATAACTCACTATTTAAGCTCCAAACCAAGATGTTATGGATGTCTTGGATAGCAATTTCCAAACACCGGGCAGTCACTGCCTGCGTCAGACTCACGTGAGTTGCCTTTAAAAGTACACCTTTTAATAAAATATTGCTTAAAAACAATAAAGGGAGTTGGGTTCTTGGTAGAGCAGTTGTACTGGCTACATTCTGGACTTCTAAAACAAAGATTCCCGTGTCCCATCCCTAGAGATTCTAATCCATTTGGACTGGAGAATTTGTAATTTCTTTTTTTTAAAACAACTTTATTGAAGTATAAGTGGCATCTGATATTTAAAGTGTACAATTGAGTATGTTTTGCCATAGGTATACAGCCACGAAACCATCACCACAATCAAGTGAACATATTTATCACCCCCAAAAGTGTTCTCATGCCCCCTTTTAACATCGTCCTCCCCAGCCTCTCCTCCTCCATCCCTAAGCTGTGACTGATCTGCTTTCTGTCACTCTAGGTTAGTTTGCATTTTCTAGAGTTTTGTATAATTATACAGTACGCACTTGTTTTTGTCTGGCTCCTCTCAGCATAATTATTTTGAGATTCATCCATGTTGTCGTGTGCTTCAGTAGTTTATTCTTTTTTTTTGCTGAGTGGTGAGAATTTGTATTTTTAAAAAACTCTGCCCAGTAGCTTCTTCTGCCTGACCGGATTTGGGAAGCACTGATCGGGGACATCACTGGCGCTTTAGTATCCTTCCTCAGTTGTCCCAGAAACCCTGTCTGTCAGGAGTGCTGTAGTTCACCTCTCCCTGGGCTCGCCCCTAAGGAACCAGGCAGGAGCGTGCCTGAGGCTTTTAGCCCCGTGTAGTGACTGTAAGGCCCAATGTTAAATGTCAGTGACTCAGTGCTGGAGCTTGCTGTGGCTTAGAAGAGGGGCTTCTGGGATGTGGGCAGCTCACGACATGCTGAAGAGCACAGCCTTACCTCTTCAGGAGTGTCCTGGAACCTTCCAAAGTCCTCAGGTTCACGAGTGTTCAATCAGGCCCCGGCTGATCTCCTCAGCCACGTGTCTGTTTACAGTCACTTGTTTTCTTTGTATCCCCTGTCATCAAAATCCTCCTGCCTTTTTGAGCATTGTTACCCTCTTACATAATGGACGTTTTTCAAAAAGGCCCAGTTTCTGTCACCTCCTGACTTAGTGCAGTCTTGCGTGAAGGATGGCTGAAGACAGATGCTGAGCCACCACGCAGCTTAGTGAGTGTTGCAGCCCACATACGGTATGCCACATGCCTCAGCAAAGTACAAATGACCACCGGAGCCCGCCTCTCAGGGGCTTTGGGAATGTGGCATCCAAGACTACTCTGCTGTATATTACAGAGTGGTGATAATTCACCCTACTGTGTCACAGGCCTCCACTGGGGCATTGGGTTTGCAGTAGATCGGCTTGCAGTGGATCTTGGATCGGCTGCAGTCCAGGCCTCTGCTCTTATCTCAACCCCTTTTATCCAGCAGCTGGCTGGGTCAAAGGCTGAAGGCTGAGGTTCAGAGCACTGCTCTCAGGCCCAGTTGTGACTTTGTGGTTTTAGGTCCTAACCACATTGGAATGTGCCTCGGGAACATTGCCGGAGCCCAGATTCATTGCAGAAGGCAGCCTGACCTTTGCTCTTCTGCTCACTGTGTCATCCCTTTGGCATGAAAATAGTTGCTTTGTGCAGCTGTTTTGTAGGATCTTCTCTATTCTCCCTCCTCTGGGCTGTTGGCCAGGGGCTACCACTCTCTGCCTATCAAGGACACGCTGACACAGGCAGCCCGGTACCTGCTGGGAGAGACTTCTGCGAAGGTGTACTGGGCATGGATGCTTGCAGGCTGAGGGCTACAATTCAGGAGTGAAGTTTGGAGGTTCTTGTGTTAGGGGCTTAAGGGTGCCCTTAAAAGGCATTTTATTCATGGCACCTTCAGAAGTTTACTTTTAGTTTAAATAATTAGCATTCTTTTTAAGAGTTCTAAAACCTAGTTCTTTACTGGGTTTTTAGTTTCCAAATCTTCTTATTCTCCTTATAAACCTGACAAGTTTCAGAGACCCCCAGAGCCAAGACTCTCGTTACTATCACTAGCTCCCCTACCAGCTATGCCCAGAGCCCAGGCACTCTCTCCTATTTGAAGAAGGCCAGTCCTAGCATATCTTTACAGTGTTGTTCAGAATTACTTAGGGTGCTATACAGATTCTTGGGCCTACTGAAGACTTACTGGGAATCAGAATTCCTGGGGGTGTGTCTCTGGGATCTGCTTTTTAATAAGTACCTCATATGATGTGATGTTCTCTATTGTTTGAAACCTACTATTGGAGAAAACAAAACAAAATATACATTAGGTAGGATCTTTAAAACATTGTAGAAAGACATTTAGTATAATTTTTATTATACATGTAATTTATATTCATTATGAAATTTGTAAAAATATGTCAGTACAAAGAAGAAAATACATCACCCATATGTCTGCCACCAGGGATAACTACTATCAGTATTTTGGTATCGTAGGGGAGGTAAAATTTTTTCTTTACCCACTTAGGGTTTCTGACTGGGACTGATATAAAACAGATTAGCAAGAGAAAAGCATACAAATTTTATTTACATGTACATTATATACTAGGTTGAACAAAGAGTAGCAATTGTGGAAAAGTAACTAAAATATATGGGGAGGTTTAAAGGTAATAAGAGTTATTTTAACAACGTCTTTTTGTATAGATTTCTCTCAGCCTCCACTCTGTCTCTGGAGATCAGAATGTTTCTTACTCCTGTTATAGGGAGGGCTTCTTTCACAAGGGAATTTGATCTCCTGCTTTTAGAAAGGAAAAGGAAGGTCAGAGTGCCTTCCTTGTATCTGCTTTTTTTCAAGGGCCTTTAATTCAAAATAATCAATATACCAAAGTGGCGTATTTTGGCGTGGCATGTTCTGAACTCTTTCAGTATAATATTATAATTTTTTGGTATAATTGTTTCCATTACAAAAGTAGGATCATGCTGCATGCACTTTTAGGTAACTTTCTTTTTTATTTAATTAAACACATTATATTTGTTAGATACAGGCTAAGTTACTGTATCAGAGATTCTAAAATACAGCCTCTAAATGTGTAGTTCCTCTTTCTCATAAAACAGTCCAGACATTGGTGGCACAGGATTGTGGTGGAGGAGGCGTGACTGTGCTCCAGAAAGTTGTGCAGGGACTCAGTTCCCTCCACACTGTAGCTCTGCCATCCCTGGGATGCTGTCCTCTTCTGCCTGGCTGAAGCTGGGTCACCTCCACGTCTGTTCCAGCCCACAGGGTGGAAGCACATGAGGGATGTGGTTCCTATCCTGGCAGCCATATGCTTAGTGAAAGCTGTAGGGATTCTGCTACTGAAAGGGAGAAGGCAAGGATGGGAACCGGGAGTCAGGGGGGAAGGGGGAGAGTGGGGGGAATTAGCAGTCTCTGCTGTAGTCAAAAATACCTTTCCAGGTCAGTAACTAAATTTTAAAATATTTGTACTCTAGGACAGTTTCCTGTTTCTTGAGTTTATTATTATTATTATTATTTTTGGTATGATAGGGTTTTTTTTGCAATAGTAAAACATCCTAGGACAACTATTCTTGAATTAGAGATCTGTCCTTATACATTAGGCAGATTACTTTCTAAGGATACTGTCATAGACGTAGACTTAGGGGTCAGAGGGAAGGTGTATCTTTAAGACTTCTATTACGTATTGTACTTTACAAAGGTTGAACCTATTTAAGTTTTCATTACCATTCAAGACCTAAAAATAATTTTTAAATGTCTCTTTAAAAACCGTCTGTCCTAATATTGTAAGTGTTTCCTCCTGGTGTTCATCCACATGTGATTATTCCATAAGTGTAACCGTAGTGCGTGTTCAACTTTATTTTCTGACTTTTTCCCACTTAATATTATTTATAAACAGTTTTTCTATTTTATTACATTTGTATTTATGACAGTGGCATACTGTTGTGTATATTGATGTAACAATGTATTTAACCAAATATCTCTTATTGGACTTGAGCTTATTCCCAGGTTTTTGTTACTATAAATAATCTTCACATTTCCCTCCTTCTGAGATGCCCTTTCAAATGGATAGTCTGAAGTCCTATGCCTCTGAGCACAAAAGTCAAGTCTGAAGTTTAGTCTGAGCTCTAGGCAAGTTTTTCTTTTGTATTCTATACTCATTCTGGGTGCTTTATATAAAGGCCCCAGGATGTGTGTGAGAAAGTGATAAATTGATGTCTGCCTACAGTGGCAGAACAGCTTGCGTTGATCTATTTTCACTGACAACTAGAGCTGGGGAACGGATACACTGACAGGTACTGTAAATCCATACTTGGTTCTGCTTGTTCAATATGCCACAGGGATTAATATCTGTCATTCCCTATGACAAAAGCAGATGCTAAACATTTCTCCTGCAGTGTGTAATCTCACACTGTCTTTTATTACATCAAACAGGAGAATTTTGTGCAATTGATAAGAACTGAAACTTCACATGAATTAAAAGCAGTTCTGACAAAGAATGTCTAGATTTTTCCTCTTTACCAGGCGCCACCATCTGGCCAAAGCTTAAACAGTTTCTAATTCGTTTGGGTTGCCAATTTTGGATTTAATTCTTGACATATTTTTAATTTGGGGGTATCGAGGGAGTATGGATTTCCATTATTTCAAAATTTACAAATAGGTGAATTTTTTTTAATATTTTTATATCATACTGTTCTAAATATGCATAAATTTAAATTTCATATACAATATCATCCCATGGCTCTAGTATCTCCAACTAGTTAGAATTGTGCTGGTGTGCGGTACAACTTGGTGATTATACTGGTATTCAAGAAAAAGTGTCAGATAATCATTAAAATATTAAATAATATAACTAGTAGAGTGGATATATAGAAAATATGGAGATTATATGTAATTTATATAAATATATTAATTTATATATTAATATAAATATAGTGTTTACACTAATCCCTAAGGTATGTAAATAGATAATTAATGTATTTACATACTAACATAAGTGTATTTATATTAATCCATAGAAATATGTATTAATCCATATGTAAATCTATATTAATCCATATATTATATGTAATATCTATTTCTTTCCTAAGTAAGATAGTTAACTCTAAGTTTAAGATTCAAATTTCAGTAAAAAACCGCAACATAAAGTTTATCCAATGGGTACAGACGTTGATCTGGTATAATTCACAGCATGTGTGTGTAGCTGCTGTATTGTGTCATGTAATAGCTACTTTCCAATCATACAAAGAGAAATTGAGTCATTTAGTAAAGGAGAGCAAAATAATGCCATTTTATTTTAAATTACACTTTGGAAATGAAGAGTAAATCTGGATATTAGTGTAAAATTGATTTCTGAGGACGTGGCTAACTCTAGCAACCTGTGATGTTATCTCAGACTTCTTTGTCAGATAACTTTTTTCCAAATTATCTTCTTTTTAGGTTGTTAGATTCCACAACTTTCAAGCCTTTGACTGGGGAAGCAGTGCCAAGAATTATTTTCATTACAACCAGGTAAAGTGTTAAAGGTCTATAGAATTAAATTGGACCCTGAAGACTCATCAGGGAAGCCAGCCTGAGTTATCAGGGTTCTGGCTGGGCTCAGGTGCTGTGGAAATGTTGGAGGGAGTTGATGGGATAGCATTTGTTTTCCCTCAAGTCAATTTCAGAACAGCCCAAGCTTTGCGGTTGGTGTTGTGAACTGGGCCTCCCCTCTGACGTTCTCTGGCACTGTATAACAGCTGTCACTGTCATATGTAATTCATAGTGGTCAGGAACACAGGCTTTAGAGTCAGACAAGCCTACGTCTGTTACCTGGTAGCTAGGGGGCCTTGGCCAAATTACAATGCCTAAGGCTTTTCTTCTGTATATAAATGAATTGACCATCTTTAGAAGCTAAGTCCTCTAAAATGGGCGCTTTGCCCATGTTTTTCTTACCTAATTCTCACAAAATCCCTGTGGCACAGATGTGATTATTATTATTATTAAAGATGAGGAAACTAGTCTTAGAGAATTTCTGTGACTTGTGTTATACGCCAGAGGGAGGAAAAGTAGGAGGATGTGACTCCAAAGCCCCTTCCTGACCACTCGGTCTGTGGCTTCACATCTGCTCTCTGGAGAACAGCACCTTCCTCTCAGGGGATCCAACACTTGTTACCGTGCCCAGCACAGGGTAACAGCTCGGGAGCTGGCACTTATTATAGTCAATATTCTTTCATTGTGGGTTAGGTTTCTTTTTGTTCTGGTAATTATGATAGCAACTTGAAAAGTAAACTGAGAGTGATTTTCAAAATTAGTCTTTTATTCTCAGATCAAATTTACTAATCAGTGCTTAATGGAGATTGTGTTGATTCTGTTTTAGTAAATTAAAATAACAACAAAGCTTTCTGTGGGTTTTCGCTATAGAGTTCCCCTCCCACTTACAACGTGAAAGACATGTGCGTGCCGACTGCCGTCTGGAGCGGGGGCCAGGATCGTCTCGCGGACGTCAAGGACATCAGTGTCCTACTGACCCAGATCACCAACTTGGTGTATCACAAGTACATTCCTGAATGGGAGCATCTCGACTTTATCTGGGGTTTGGATGCTCCATGGCGGCTCTATAATGAAATGGTGAATCTCATGAGGAAATACCAGTGAAAGCCAGGCTGGAGAAATTTACCATCAAGTCAATGATCAAGTTAATTTCTCTAAAATACTTGTTTTTCTTTTGCATTTTTATATCCAAGAAAATTATGATGTTGAAGATGCTCAATTCTCTCTAGTTAGGATTAGAAACACACTTGCCTTTTTTGTTTAATCATGGCCGAATATGAAGCTAGTGTCTCAACCAATGTGTAGTCTCTTTAAGTCTTTTATAAAACCACTCACTTGTGAAAAGGTCATTACCATTCTCTTTAACCTTATAATTTAAAATATATGCTATATTGCCTTTTTACCCCCACACAGGACGCATTGACATATGTGTTGGAATTTTTAAGCTGTGTGCTGGCACTGACTTGAAAAAAGTGTGGTGTATAAGTACCCAGTTCTCATCTCTTTGCCTTAAAGGGCTCTCCAGTTGAATGGCCTTGTGTTCAGGGATCTAAGTGACACTTTCTCATGTTCTCATGCAGTAGGTGCAGCATCAAATCCAGTGACCCCCCAGCTGTGCCAGTTATAATGATTCCGTAATGAATGTTAACAACCTAATTGTGATAGCTGTTATTTAGCAAATGTTTAAATTGCTCAGCTCAAGCAAAATAATTTGCTGGAGTCTTCAAAAATAAATTACACTCATTAAAAAAACAACTATATTTTAAATAGCTTGAAGACTGATGCATTCAACCATCTGTGTTCATGAACTCTTAATTGTATGGCAGGCCATAAAACCCCTTGTTTGAGAAGAAAAGTCCTGTGGAGAGACAATATCACTATTTTTCCTGAAATTAATGTACTGTCTTAACCAGCTGCTATAGCTCAGTGATGACGTATGTGAAGCAGGAGCCCCGAGGCTGCCCATGAGGAGCGTCCTAATTCATTTTCACACAAAGGCAATGCGAGCGTGAATGTTTTAAGATTAAAGCTCAGGGACTTGTTTTGTTAGTTTTGTATATGTCCATATTTTTAATGCTCCTGATTTGCGTCCCCATGTCAGGAAGCCCATATTTACCTGCTTTTTTTGCGGCATTATTTCCTTACAATACTGTCAGATGGGCAAAATGACAATTGATATGTTTTTCTGATATAGTTGCTTTAGCTGCAATAATAAATAATACTTGGTATTGGCTAAAATGTGCTGATAGCATACTACTACTTTGTAACATTTAAAAACTCCTTTTTAAACTTTTCAATAAAACGCAATGAGCCTCACAGCCCTGAAGGATTGTGTGTGTGTGTGCGGCCTCCTTTATTTAATAGCCATTCTCTACTTCCCTTTCTCTCTTAGCAGGACTTAGATTTTTCTTTCTCATCTTCTCCTCCTTCTCCTTCCTCTTTGTAAATTTCAATGATACTGCCCATGAATGTTTGATCCTTTCCCATGGTGAGGTGAGAGTGGTCTCAAACCTCAGGAGGGTTGGGGGACCGTTTGGAAATACTGGCTTTCAGCGTTATCCTGCAGGGTCCATTGAGCAAGGCTGTGAGTGGAGACTAAGCAGTGATTAACTTCATCTGCAGGGAGTGGCCTGCTGCAGGCAGGACCATGGATTCAGGGACTGTCCATCCAACTCCCTCCTTGAACAAATGAAGCAACTGAAGTTGGTAGAGACAAGTCATGCCATAGAGCCTCCAAACTATAGATTTGGGAGTCTAATGGGATCTCTCCCACTACCCTGTGAGTTTGAGAGCAGAAGATATATCTTACTTATCTTGGTATACCCAGAATTTAACACAAAGCCTGGAGTATAGTGAGTCAATAAATATATGTGGACTGGCAAAATGTGCGAAAAACGATGGACTTTGCCATTTAGCTAAAGGAAATTAGATGCACAAATAACGTCTGGGAGGGTCTAAGGACTGAAGTGGAATCTATTTTTTCGTGGCACTCATAGGAAAGAGTAAAACTGTACTAGATGCAAAGGATATACGTTCCTAGGGGGATGCCACTCTCCTCGCGGCCCTTATCTCCCCTAAAAAACCTTCTTTCTCCTTTGACCAAGGCAAATAGGCTTGGCCAACCAGCTACAAGATTCTTGGGTAGGGCCAGAAACAAAGGGACAGTAAGTAGTTGTTTTTGTTTATTGTTTTCCACCAATAGTGGGAGAGAGCTTGCCAGAGAATGGTCTCAGTGCCGTAAGTGACCTGTTTCTCTAGCCTTGTTTGCTGCTAGGGGGCTCCCATAGATGCCCTTGAGAACTTGTGGTCAGTAAAGCTCCCACATACCAGATGAAAGGAATGAGCAGGGGCCACATTCTATAGAGTCTACGTTTTATTGGCATGCTTTTCTCTTCCTTTCTAAACTTTGGAGATTTTCCTTCAGTGTGTGGGCCAGTCTAGAAGTGGAGATATTGCATAGCCGTTCTTCCGACAGTTGGGTTACATTGCACATTTGTCCTGGGTGGTGGTCTCTTGTTCCTGACATAGCTGCATAGGTCCTTTACATCCTTGTGACTCTGGCTGTATTAATGCAGTTTTGTTTCATCATTGGCTGAGGGTGCAAAACAAGGTTGGAGCTTGTGCCTCAAGAAGTCCTGTAACAAGTTGGTAAGAGTTCTAACTCTGTTCTTTTCAACTAGGTTTGGTATATATTCTTTTGAGCAGAACACAAAGATCTCCACAGACCTCTAGGCAAGGAGAAGATAGTTAATATTCTGCCTTCTTGGAACTCGAAGAATACTGTGTGTACTTGGGCAAAGCCACCCAATGAAGTCACAATTAAGAATGAATTCATTTTTTTCATTTGCCATAAGAGGGCACTCATGGCTTTGCTTCCAAACATTTTCTTTTCATAAGGAGCCTTTGTCTAGTCCATTCCTCTGGGAAAGGCCGAGAATGTTGTTGACTTACGAGCCAGTTGGTAATTTGAGGACTGGAAAGAGCGACCATGTCTGTGGTCATTTCTATCCAGGATTATTACTAATTCTTGCCGAATACATAATATCTGAAAAATGTCCTCAAGAATAGCTGTGCCCCAAATATGACATGAAAATAAAAAGTTACCTAATAGGTAAACACAGACATGGCAGAGGAAGTGAAGAAGGCTTTAACCTGGACCTCACACTTATTAAGGACCAAAATTTAGGCTATTGGTATTATCTCCAAATAACGAAGATTATTTTGTGTTTGTGGGTTTTTGTTAATTTAAGTGTATACATTTAAAATATACTGTAATTTTAACTTGTCATTTACTTTTGAATATATGGAGAGATTTTCAAAATGTGACCCCTGAAAGGCAACAAATAATTATTGTAATAATGTAAGTTTTAAAAGTTTGTCAGTAATCCATTCAAGGATATTTATTGAGTATTGTTTTGTGCTAGATGCAGATTTCAAGTTCAGTTCCAAGCTAAGCAAGTAAAACTCTCTGCCAACTTGTTTTAATATTACTAAAACAAATACTTTGCATTTTACATTGTGCTTTCCAGGTTTTTAAAGCCTTCTCGTAAGGCTTTGATCTTTGTAACAATCTTTTGAGAAGTGAGGCGAGTATTTTCTCTGCTTTACAGGCAGTGGTATGCCTTTTAGTGGGAATGATTTTATGAGCTTTAAATATTTTAAAGAGGTAGATGAGAGTTCAACAATGTCAGTAGAAGCACCCACTTACATGTGACCCAGATGGATAAAAAATATAAAGAGCCAGCCCTGATGGCCTAGCAGTTAAATTTTGGCTTGCTCTGCTTCGGTGGCCCGGGTTTAGTTCCCAGGTACGGAACAACATCTCTAGTCTGTCAGTAGCCATGCTGTGGTGGCGGCTCACATAGAACTACAAGAATTGACAACTATACACAACTATGTAGTGGGGCTTTGGAGGGGGCAGCGGGGAGGAAGAAAAAGGAAGAAGAATGGCAACAGATGTTATGTTAGAGCGAACCTTCCCCTGCAAAAAAATAAAAAAATAAACTTCAAAACCAAATACGCAGCAGCATCTGTGACAAACGGCATCAAGGAGTCTCTTGTGGGAGCTAAAATCCCCTATATTCTTCATTTGCATTCCTTACTGTTTTGGTGTGGGTGGTTGATGTTTTCTGAGTCTTTTGTAAAGTGTCCTATAAATGCAACTTTGATGCCCCATTCCACCACTAAACTCCTCCTATAGAGGTACCTACCTTGAAACTGACAGGTTCTGCTCTCAGTTTGGCTGTAACTTGCTATTTAACCCTAGCTAGTCTTGACTTTTCTGAGACTGAGACTATTCAACTTTCCAGTGAGGAATTAGATTCTGATCTTTGAGATTACTCCACTCTCTACGTATTACTGCTGTAAGGTGTTAGAACACTTCTCACATCTGATATCCAGCAATAATCGTTTTGGTTAGATAGATGCCAAGACAGTCTCACCTAATTTTGGAAAGAAAAAAAAATCATAAAGGTCACACAGAAAAAGAGATTATGTCATTGGTATTGGGCTTTGCCTGCTACATGTTCTATTTTTTGGGGGTGGGGGCAGTATCCGAAGTCTTTTGGTGAGTTGGTACCAAATAACTTTGAGATTGTGTTAAATATGCACAGACTTGATTGTTGTACTCTCAGAAAAGTAATCTGATCTCTGGGATAGCTAGAGAAGAAAAGATTCCTGTCCTCCAACCCTGTAAGCTTTCCTGTAAAGTTCTAGGTACTTGCACTATAAGCATCTTTGCCATAAACATCTTTGCCACAAATATTTTTGCTGCGTAACTAATGGGCCATAAGGCAATTTTGCCATAAAAGATAAAATAACTGGTTGACAGTTTGGTTTCATCTAGAAAATACGGTGATAAAACTTACTGGAAGTGTGAAATAAGAGTGTAAAGCCGGATTGTATACTGTATGAGAAAATGATAACACATCAGTTTGCAAATCCTTCATTGAGCACAGTCAGTCCCTCCCACTCATCAAAACTTACTAAGCTATGCCAAATTTAAAAGAGGTGGCTGGGGCCGGCCCAGTGGTGTAGTGGTTAAGTTCGCACACTCTGCTTCGGCAGCCCAGGGTTCACAGGTTCGGATCCTGGGCACGGACCTGTGCACTGCTTATCAAGCCACGCTGTGGCAGGCGTTCCACATATAAAGTAGAGGAAGATGGGCACAGATGTTAGCCCAGGGCCAATCTTCCTCAGCAAAAAGAGGAGGATTGGCAACAGATGTTGGCTAAGGGCTAATCTTCCTCACCAAAAAAACTCCCCAAAAACCAAAAGAGGTGGCTGATCATTCACAACAGTCTTCAAGAGCATTAATTATTGATTCTTTAGCTAATTTAGATACAACAGCTTGTTCTCTAGTAAACTTATCATGCAATACTAGAAGAAGTCGGAGGCAAAAGAAGAATCAACCTCCTCCTATTCCCCCTGCAAAAGAAATGGTTATGTGATTCCTGAGGAATATGTTTCTTGAAAATGGTGAAAATTTTTTGCTATTTTATAGTGGAGAATATGATGTGAACAGAATTTTGATTTTTGGCACAGAATTTGGCTTAGATGATTCGGTGAAATATAAGGACTGGGCATATGATGGAACATTTAAATGTAGTTTAGATATATACTACGTGTTTTATTGTGTCCTTTTTAGTGTCCCTCTTTTATTTTTTGTTACTTTATCTTTTACAGCAAAATTGCCTTACAGCCAGTTAGCTATGCGGCAAAAATTCTTGCAGCAAAGGTGCTTACAATGAAAATACTAGACACGTGTCAGAAAGACAATGCCAAGATAAAAATGATACACAGAAAGTGATAATCAACTGGAGAAGCACAAGAAATAGTGTGGCCAAAGTCCTAATACCATCAGAAATCAGCAAACGCCCTCTTCTATGGAAAACCATCCCAGTAGGTAAGTAGACCTAAATTACATCAAGTAGTGCTCCAGAAAAAAAAGATTCTAGTTTTTTTTAGCCTTGATTTAGAGTCAATATCTTTTATTTATTTATTTTTTTAAACTTTATTTATTTATTTTTACCCCCAAAGCCCCAGTAGATAGTTGTATGTCACAGTTGCACATCCTTCTAGTTGCTGTATGTGGGACTCGGCCTCAGCATGGCCAGAGAAGCAGTGCGTTGGTGTGCGCCCGGGATCCAAACCCGGGTTGCCAGCAGCGGAGCGCGTGCACTTAACCACTAAGCCATGGGGCCGGCCCAAGAGTCAATATCTTTTAAAATGAGCACTGAGTCCACAAATATCTTTTGAACACTCATTATGTGCAAGGTATGATGCCTGGCACTGTGGGAGAAAGTCCTAGAAGATACACTCTGTGCCTTAAAAAGACCTACTAAGGGGGTAGCCCATGGCCTAGTGGTTAAGTCTGGCATGCTCCGCTTTGGCGGCCCAGGCTCAGTTCTCGGGCATGGACCTACACTGCTCCTTGGTGACCATATTGTGGCGGCGACCCACATAGAAAATAGAGGAGGATTGGCACAGATGTTAGCTCAGGGCAAATCTTCTTCAGGAAAAAAAAAAAAAGACCTATTAATCTAGCAAGCTGTTAAATAAATTTTGTGTAAATGTAAAGTGTTTAAAGGTGCATGTTTGCCAGTTCAAGAAATGACACCACTTTAGTCAAGATTAAATAGGGTTCAATTTTATTTGGGTCCATTAAGAGATGCTGTTTTTGGTCACCCAACACCTCCATGACATAGAGTGGACAACTGATGAGATTTAACTGGCTACTTTCTCTGAGATGGTTGCTCTTGTATATTGGACACAAACTTCTTTCCTGGGTGGAAAGGCAGAGAAGCTGGTGGCTCTTCTTCAAAGCGCTGTGAGTAAAGGGAGAGCCTGGCCCAAGCAGACTGAAGCTGTGGCTTCCAGGTCTTGCTGCACAGGGCTTTATGTAACCAGCCCATGGAGAATATTCTTAGTGATAGAGGATGGAAGAACCAAAGAAGGAAAAGAATGGGTTGGTTGGGGCTGAGGGCTCAAAGGAGACAGTCCTGAAAGCAATCTAATAGCTAAGTCCAAATTAAGCAAACCTGCCAAGGTCACCCACTAAAAAAAATCTGTGAAAGCATCCAAGCATGATAGCTGACACCCCAAGAAAAGCACAGCATGTGCTGAATGGAAATTGGAGGGTTGACTCAATTTCTGTTGAGGGCAAATCTGAGCAATATTTTACCTGTGAGCAGAATTCATTTGTAATCCTGAGAAAGTGGGCTTTAATGGTCCCTTTGGAGCACTGAGGGGCCCAAGAGTGAAGGAGAAAAAGTCCTTCCTCTTCTCTCTGACATGCTGCTTGAGCCATGCGAAGTTCAAGGGCAGGGTGATGTCAACCAGGAATGAGAAAGAAGAGAGTTCCTGGGTTGCCCTAAAAATCAATTGGAAAGAGCACTGGAGGAAGGGAAAAATTGAAGAGGAGCCTAGGAAGGACAGCTTGTCTAACTGGAAGAAACCTACCAGCAGGGAGGCCAAGAGCCTGCATTATACCTGTCTCTGCTACCATCTAGATATCCAAGCACCGTTAGAAAATTCACTCTCTTTCTTTTTTTGCGTTGGCTATCAAGAAGCTCAAAGCTGTTTCTCAACCTTTATCTCATCAATACATAAGCAGAATATCATAATAATATTCTTATGGCACACTGAGGTTTAAAAAAGACGGCCTCAGTATGGCCAGAGGCTGGGGGCTCTGGAGAATGGGCATCTGAGGGATATCGGTGTTTCATCAGTGGCAGTTCAGGGACACACACCAGTTGGGAAGTTCTGAATTATGAATTGGCCTATTATAGATGTGCGTGTGTATATAATATCCTATATATCCCATATATATCCTATATTATATAATTATATATTGTGAATAGCCTATTATATATCATATGCATAATATATAGAGTATTTACATATATACATATCCATATATTATTATATTTCTAGGCCCTTATATTGGTCTATATTTTTGTTGTGCTTATTCTTTTCTCATAATATATGGCTTTATAACTTTTATTTCTCCTTACATAATTTTATTTGATTTTAATTGCAAACTGCCTCAATTATTCTTTAGGTAAAATGTTGAGTACAAATTTAAAGTAATGTGGGTCTTATTTTGTATGTTTACCGTGTTCCAGGCACTACGCTTTTACTTCTGTAAGATCACAGCTATTATAATAATGCCTATTTCTTGGCAGCATGAGGGACTCAGCTCTTTTAAGCACTCAATGAAATCACTTCAAGCAAAACACTTTGCTAATGCCTGGCAGCCATTACATGGTAGCCTTATTATTTTCCCATTTAACGTTCAAAATAGCCTCATGAGATGGCTTCCATTATTATTTCTCATAGGGCAGGGCAGATACGAAAATGCAAAGTTAGGAGGAGTGAAGCGCTGGCCCCAACATCACAGACACAAGAAGAGGCAAAGCTAGGATTAGGAGTGGTCCCTGGCTTCAAAGTTTTTGTCCGAAACATCTATCCTCTAGGCATCTTTAGTGTCAGTGTCAGCCCAACAGATCAAACGCGGAGGGCGTTTTTTATGCTAGTCCGGAGTCTCCCCAGAGCTCTCCTAGTACCGACCTCCCTGCCCTCAATCCTGGGTCAGTCTACCCCTTTGATGGCGGAGAAACGCAGGGATGGGGCCGGCCGCACAGTCCTGCTTTCTGGGCCAGGGATGACTTGGAGGGATGGGGATTGAGGACGAGGGGCAAGTTGGTGTCTCGAAGCCAGCCGAGGGAAGGGCAGGGTAGGAGCGACATCATCCTGGTCAACAGTCTCCCGGAAGTCTTCAGGGCCGCACAAGTATTCCCTTGAGGAACGAAGTGGGCGGTTTACTAATTTCATTGCTTCCACCCAAACTGAGATGCAGCTGCTTTTTAGCCAGATCTGGGTAGGCTCTGGGTGTTAAACCTAGCGCTTAACTTTTTTTTTTTTTTTGGTAAAGCAAAGCCTAGCAGTTGCAGTCCCCATTCTTGCCACCGCGTCTCCCCGTTCTCGTCGCTGGTCTGGGCGCTCCGGGGGCGCTGCAGAGGGACCGCCCGCAGGCCCAGGTTTGCGGACTCCGCCGGGCGAGTGTGCGTGCGTGTTCTGGAGCTTGCCGCTAATCGGCGGGGATAGCTCCTCTTGGGAGACACTGGAACTAGGGGAGGTTTCCGTCCCGCCACCGGTCCCGTCTGATTTCCTGCGCTGAGGGTCGCTGCGCACGGCAGGGGACCCGCGGTTCCCTCTGCGAAAGGTTAGTTTGCCACTCGCTGCTGGTTAGATCAATACAGGGTGCTCAGACAGAAAAGATCCGAAATACAGAAGGTATGTCGCTTTAAAATTTTTTTATAAATGCAGTTACATTTGCGCCTTTATGAAAACAGATACACACAATTATGTATATTTAAAAATACAAATAATTCTGCATTGATTGCAAAGGAGCTCTTTCTGGTGGTGATGGAAATATTCTCTATCTTGTTTGGGGATGGTGATGACACGTGAATTGAGTTATCAAATCTCACAGAAATTCTACGCTGAAGTTCTGTGGCTTGTGTTCTGTGTAAATTCTACGTCAAAGGAAAAATCAGAACAAAATTCTGCATGCATGTGAAAAGTTACTAAGTGCCATCGCATATTGCATGTATAAGTGCCTATTAAGTGCAGCTGTAGATGTGTATTTACAGTAACTAAGCGCAATTCTCTGGGGTTATTTATTTATGCAAGCTCCACGTAGCGGGGAAAGGGAGAGAAGCGGCGGCTGACATCACTCGGGGGCGGGGCCGCAAGTCCTAAGAAAAGTCGGTGGAACGCGAGCCGCGGCAGCTGCCAGGCACAGCCTCACCATGAGCAGCCGCAACAGCTCCGAGCTCCCTGTCCTCTGTAGCTCCGGCCAGCTGTTCCTGCAGCCCCTCTGGGACCGCCTGAGGACCCGGGAGGCCCTCATCCAGTCGCCCTTCTTCCCTGTCATCTTCTCCATCACCACCTACGTGGGCTTCTGCCTGCCCTTCGTGGTGCTGGACGTCCTGTACCCCTGGGTGCCCGCGCTGCGGCGCTACAAGATCCACCCCGACTTCTCGCCCTCGGCGCGCCAGCTGCTGCCCTGCCTGGGGCAGACGCTCTACCAGCACGTGGTGTTCGTGTTCCCCGTGACGCTGCTGCACTGGGCCCGCGGACCGGTCCTCCTGCCACCTGAAGCCCCGGAGCTGCTCCAGATGGCGCGTCACGTCGTGTTCTGCCTGTTGCTTTTCGACGCCGAGTTCTTCTTGTGGCACGTGCTGCACCACAAGGTGCCCTGGCTGTACCGGACCTTCCACAAGATGCACCACCAGAATTCGTCCTCGTTTGCGCTGGCGACGCAGTACATGAGCGTCTGGGAGCTGTTTTCCTTGGGCTTCTTTGACATGGTGAACGTCACGCTGCTCGAATGCCATCCGCTCACCGTCCTGGTCTTCCACGTGGTCAACATCTGGCTGTCGGTGGAGGACCACTCGGGCTACGACTTCCCCTGGTCCACGCACAGACTGGTACCTTTCGGGTGGTACGGGGGCGTGGCACACCATGACTTGCATCACTCTCAGTTTAACTGCAACTTTGCCCCTTACTTCACACACTGGGACAAAATTTTGGGAACTCTGCGGTCTGCTTACACCAAGTAACACGCACCCCTCCTGGCTTGGTGGTGTGGCTGCAGTGGGCAGTGGTTGCCCCTCAGACTCTGTGCATTTCATGCTTGACTCAGGAGAAACACATGTGAACTTTTTTTTTTAAAGTAACTTATTACCTGATGGAAACTTATGGATAAAATCTGATAAAGTAATATATATAATGTTTGTATATCAACAATTGTATTCTTGGTGTAGAAGTCTAGATCACTTCAGTAGCCTTGATTCTTGGATATGTAGCAGACATTCATCACTGGCATATTTAAGTCACCTCTAAAAGGAATTTCTTGTAGAACAAGGAATTTCCTATGTTTGCAAGTGTCCTAGAATGAGGCTAAAAGAACCTATTTTTATGGAGAATCTGATCTCTGACTCTATAAACAATGAACCATGTTCCTGCTGGACAGTGACCAAGATTAATGTACCTTTTTTTTCTATTTTTTTAATAGAACTGTATATTTATATTGAAAGAAATGTTATTTGTGCTTTAAAAAAGAAAAAAAGAACATAACACCAAACAAGTACTGGCTCCTGTTTCACTGGCATTTTGACTGATAAAAATTAGAATGGAAAGAGGGAGCTGGGATGGTGGGTGTTCTTCAGAGCCTCCATCACTCCTACCATGGAAAGATTGGAATCTGGTGAGGGGTGTGTTGTGGGAGGTTGCAGGAGAGGAGGAGGCAGGAGAAAGGGTCTGTTTGTCTGCTTTGGTCTAGAGATTTCACAGAGGGAAAACACTATTGTTCTAAGGCGACTGATTGAATTACTATTTGATTATTTGGGGAGTGGGGGTGGTGGTGGGGGATGAATAGAATTAGTGGAGTGTCTTGCTTTGCAAAACTGGTAAGTCGTGTGTGTGCCTTAGAAGGGCTGATAGATAGAGAAAGGTCTTCCGAGTAACCCCCCTCTTCATGAAGCCATCTAGTACAAATGACCATCATACACATTGCCTCTGCAATCTGGGATTTTTGTATATCACTTTTCTTAATTAAAACATACATGCAAACTGCATACCCCTTTCTCAAAGGAAAAAAAGTGAAATTTGACCCTAGATCCCTAGTTCCTCATCTGTAAAAGGAGATTGTGTCCGAAATGTTCTTGTAGATTACTTGTGACAGTAAATGTCCCTATTACTGACCACATACCTGTCATCCATCATGTACCCCATCTGGCTTCTGCCTAATTGTTTTAATTTTATCTTTGGAACATAGTTTAGAGTAAAGTTAAAAAATCAAGACAGTTTAGACAGAAAAGTATAAAGAACAGCAGCTCTGTGTGTAATTCTAGGCTCATTATATATGAACCAAGCTATCTTGTTTAAAGTGAAAAATCCATCTAAAGACCTAGTCTCCACAGTCTGCCAAATGAGAGTCCTGAGAAATATGTTCAGGCCCTCCAAATCTTTGGCAAAATGCAATCAGAATGGCTGGCTGCTTGGCTGATTTTGTCATATTCCTTCCCAATGTGTGTCCTCTTGGCTTCTTTGCTGAAGTCACCTCCTCCTCTGTCCACAGCAGGACCGTGCTGGGACTGAAAGATTATATTGATGAATAAAAGTGAAATCCGTGAAAGCAGGTAGTGAAATGTAAGGGGAAAATGCTGCGTTGGAGGTATTACATTAATATCATGATCAACATGCTGAGTGGAGAAAGAAAAGAAGGATGAACAGGCAGGTGTGGAACATGTACTATTAGTTGTTTCGAGCAGCTCCAGGCGCCCAAAAGCTGCCTGCAAATCTTGGATAATGACAGCTTATCACAGCTCACTCTCAGAGAATTTTTAAAATGCGTCATGTTGACTCACTGTAACAGGGAGTTTTGCATTTGGGGCAAATTGTACTCATGGAAATCACTTGGGTTTAGAAATACTTTCTCAGAATAGGTTGTCTTATCAGTTTTTAGTATCTTGGCAGGTGGAAGTGGGGGAGTGGAGAGTATGACCAATTTTTCAGATAGTTTGAGAGCCTAATACTAATGATGATGAAATAGTTCACATCTACATGCACTTTCCCGCATTGTTTCACTTGCTCCTTACAACAACCCTCCAAGGGATGTAGGATAGTTATTATTATCATCATCTCATATTGTGGGTGGAAAATTGGTCCCTACACAGGTTAAGTGACTTGTTCCAGATTGTAAAATACTAGAAGTTGGAGCCAGTTCTCGAACTTAGCTCTTACAGCGTACACTATATGTCTCTTGTGATGATGCTTATGATAATCTTCACAACTGCCAGAGAGATGCAAACCCTGCAACTCCAACAAATGGCCTCTCTCTGCTATTCTTCCTCAACCACTGCCCCTCAAACACAGCATCCCTCTGGCCCACTACTGTGATGTGGATATCCCCGGACTCAAAGCCTCTGCTTGGGAGGGGAGAAAGCCAGGGAAAGCAGGCCTAGGCCAGTCTAAGCAGGCCTTGGGAAAGCATAGGGCAGGTCAAGGGCTCTGTTTTCTGTGTCCCTCATTGCACATCAGCTAAGAGCACAGGTGCTGAAGCCAGATTGCCTCGGGGGAAACTTGACTTTAGGATTTATTAGCTGAGTGACTCTGGCCAAATTACTTAACCTCTCTGTCCCTTGGCTTCCTCATCTGTAAAATATAGATAATCATAGAACCTACCTCACAGCGTTGTTTTGAGAGAAATTTGAGCTACTATATGTGAAGTGCTAGATGCGTTGGAGGTCTGGCTGTGTCTGTGTTTGCTATGATTGATGCCTCACAATGCGAGCACCAGGCCCGCAGTTCACGACCGTAACCTCCTGTCCACAAACGTGTTTGAGTTCTCCTATCTTACAGAGAATGAGATAAAGCTGAGTTTTTGATCCTGCTTCCATCAAAGCTGCTTCTCTCGTCATCCTCTCAAGGCCAAATTGTTGGAAAGAGGCAGAAGTCTGTGTTTGTCTGATTCTACTTCCTCACTCCTGAGTCACCCGCCCTCCCCTCTTCCTGAAACTTTCACTCCCTGTTCACTGCCATCTTCCTCATTATCAAGTCCATCATTTTTCCCCCTTCGTTTTTCATCTCCTTGGCTTTTTTTTTTTTTAAAGGTATTTGTTTTTGCAAACCAGCCTCTTCTTAGAATGTGGTTCTTGCTTGGTTTTAGTGAGGTTTCTCTAAACTATTTCCTTTCTAATTCTCCAGATGTTTCTTCTTCCTTCAGTGGCTCCACGTTCTCCTCAGCAGGGAGGCAAGGCTCAAAGTGCTTCTCTTTTTATTAAAAAATACTTATATTGTATGTAATGAATGTCCTTCCTACCATCTTCTTGTGCACTCTCTAAATCTTCACTTACATTGCATTCTAGTACACACACACAACGTATACGTACACATACCATGTGTTTGTGCATATATACATTGTACCTGCATACACACTATGTATGTACTATATATGTACATACCACACACAAACCATATGTCCACACACTTATATATACACAGACATGCATTTGCACTCTATGTATGTATATGTATATATGCACATACACTATACATGTATGTACACTATATATGTATGAACACACTTTATACACACTATACATGTGTATGTATACTCATTATGTAGACACACACTATATATACACATGCAAACATGATATATGTATATATAGAGAGAAACACTATGTAAACCCACACTATATATATATATATACACCCCCTCCTCTCTCTCTCTCTATACACACACGTACACACACATACACATACGACCATTTCTGTCCTGTTTACCATTTATCTCTGCCCCTAGTACTATGCTTCATTCTTGGTAAATATTGACTCAGTGTTGCATGAATCCCATAAGCAGTAGAAACACAGCTTTGTCATTAATCATGTCTTTCTTCATCCATTCCATCCTCCATCCCAGCTTCCTAACTAAGGCTATACTCACAACCCATAATCTCTGTTCTAGAGGTCATAGTCTACTGGAAAAGAGAATCAGGCAAACAAGTGCATCTAATCTAAGGTCGTCAGTGCTCTAATGGGAAGTAGTAACAAGTTGTTAAGGGATCCCAAAGAAAGATGGGTCATTTGAGTAATAGAAATCGTGAGGGATTTGTATGCATTCACCAGGCAGGGGAAGGGCATACTGGCAGAAGAAACAGCACCGCAAATCAGAGAGGAATGAAAGAACTTGGCATGCTTGAAACATGGGAGGAAGCTCAGAGCACTGTGCGAACAAAGAAGGAACGCCAAAGCATATTGTCTTGCCACTTGTCAAGCCATTGAAACTGCTTGGAACTGTTTGCTCACCTGCCTGTGTCACAGGGTCTTTGGGAGATTGTATATAAAATTACTTTGAGGCCAGTGTTAGGGCTTGCTATTATTTGTTGATTTATAATGAGTACATGGATGAATGCATTGAAAACTGGACTTGGAAATGACATTCCAAGAAGCTTAGGTGCATTCTCTAGGCAATGGAGGGGGAGTGGGGTGAGAGCTCCACAGATTTAAAGCAAAGGAGTGATGTGATTAGATCTGGTGTAAGAAGAGAACTGGCAGAAGAGTATGGTGGTAGTGATTCCAGTTAGGAGACCATTGCAAGTTCTGCCTGGATTCCAATCCTGGCTCCACCGCGTATGAACTTTGTGAGCTTGAGCAAGTTCATTAATTTCTCTGAGGCTCAATTTCCTCATATGTAGAAAGAGGGTGGTAGTACTTGCCTTTAGAATCGATGTGAGGAGTAAGGGAGCTATTTAGAGAATTTAGCACTCTGCCTCACATATAGCAAACATTCTGTAAATAGTTACCAATGTGTTATGATTACAGATGAGAGATAATAAGCCTGATCCAAAACAAATGGAGATGAGGTGGGGAGGAAGAAATGGATTTCTCTTTTTTTGTAAAAGTAACACATGCTCACGGAAAAATTTCAAACCCTAGAGAACAGTGTGAAGTAAGAAGTAACTTCCACCCCCATTCAATGAACTTATTTATTCCCACTGCAGACATAATCAAAGTTAACCCTTTTTTGGGTGCCAAACCAGAAAGTCAGTCATTCAGTATCTCTCTCTTTTTCTCTCTTTCAGCTGGGATGCATTAAATGGTTTTTAAAAGTTAAAAAAAAGCAAGTTAAATTCTTTAGACAAAGGCCCAAGGGCATGTCCTCCCTCTAAATGTCTTCCACTTATTTCCTTTTTCTATACCTTTTGATCACTAATCAAAACAAGAAGAGAAACTTAAGTTGTCTCTCTGGCACAGCTTCTGTGGAAGGCTTGCTTGGTGGTGTGACTGATCTGTACTTGAAACGGCAGGCCAGAGGAAAAGCAAGATTTTCCTTGTCTCCTCTTCTCTCTTCTACAGTTCTCCACTGGCACCTCTTACAGTACCTGCACTCTCTGCCTTCTCGTGAAGCAATTGCTTTCTCTATTGGAGTAAAAGTTCTCTGAAAGGAGAAGCCGTGTCTTGTAGATCTTTCATTCCTTGAGGATCTTACACTTGGAAATTGCTCAATAAATGTCTCTGGAGTGAGGTTCTAGGGTTTGGAGCCTGAAGAGTCTGGGGTCGAGCTGCCTGACTTTTTGTTTTGGGGGAAATCACAGAATCACTCTGAACATCAGTTTCCCTCTCTGTAAAATGGGTGGATGTTGGAGTAATAATAACTGGCCTTGCCTGCTTCCTCAGGCTGCTGTGAGATCAAATGAGTTGGAGCAGTAAGATGCTGAGTGGATGAATGGATGCTCTGTATGTTGACTGTGACAATGTGGACCTTAGGCACGTATGAAGGCAGGAAGGTGTTCCAGCACCTATCTCTTTCCATCTCTGCCATGATGATTCTCCGTCATGGCTTCCCTGCTGAATCTCAGGAGGATATAGGAGAGGAGGGGTGCCTCAGAGGGACGGGAGTTAGAGGAAGCTGGCCCCAGGGCAGGGCAGTTTGCAGAAATAGCCCAAGCAGTAGTAGTTGTGCCAGAATCAGAAGTAGTGTTAATCTGAAACATGGCAGGAGAGGGCTCTTCCTTCTTTCTCTACCAAGGATGAGCTCCAAGCCAAGAAGTGCAGCCTGCTAGAATTTGGCAGCAAAGGGCTTTTGAGAGAAGAAGCCTTCGGTGTTGGACACTAACTGGAAAAAGTCACCCCTTACTAGGCAGTTTGAGCTCCCTGTTAGGTGGAGATAAGAAGAGTAGCTCATCCTTGGCAGTGGGTTTGATCTGCCTGAGAGCCAGCAGTACCGAGGGAAGACAGCTCGCTCACTGACACTGTCAGGCTCGGAGAGTCTATGAAAGCTAAAGCTGAGACACCGCTCTCCAGCTTCCCTATTTTGTGAATAAGGAAACTGAGGCTCAGAGATGGGAAATGACCTCGCCTGGGTAATACAACTGGGCTGGAACTCAAAGGACTTGTGCTCCTCCTGCTTCTCCCGCTGCTTTTCTCTCACCCTCTGGGTCCTTAGAGCAATTGCAGGCTGTCTCCTGCTGAGTAGCATAAATGTGGTTACGGGACACTGCTTAGAAATCGTCGAAATCCATATTCTTTGGTAATCATTTGCATAAACACAACATAAGTAACTCTGCTGATCTGTAGCAACTTGAGTGAAGTGCTTATTTCAAATTTTGCTAAGATCTATCCTGCCACACACCTTTGTGGGTAATTGGTGTGAACTTTTATCCCTGTGAACTCTGAGAATCTCTGTTTAGAAAATGTTTAAGAAAGTATCCATATGATCGAATACAACTCAGCAATAAGCAGGAGTGAACTATTGATATATGCAACACCAAGGATGACTTCTTAAAGTAATTATGTTAAGTAAAGGAAAGCAGACCAAAAAAGTACGCACTCTATGGTCCATTTACATAAAATGGTGTGTACTATATAGTTCCATTTATATAAAATTCCAGAAAGTGCAAATGAATCCATTGTCACAGAAAGTAGATGGGTAGTTGTTTGAAGGATGGAGAGGGGCAGTAAAGATGGTTCACCAAGGGGTATGAGCAAACTTTCAGGGATAATGGGTATGTTCACTATCTTGATTGTAGAGCTGGTTTCATAGGTGTACACATATGTCAAAATTTATCAAATTGTACACTTTAAAAACATGTAGTGTATTGTCTGTCAATTATAGTAAATAACGATGATGATAAGTTAATCAATGACCTCATGTTCTGAATTTTAGCTTTGAAGCACTTTACTATGAACAAATATGATAGGGGACTTAATATCATAGGCACACATAGACACACAGAGTCTAAGATCAATTCTTTGCTCGTCTGTACACCTGATCTATCAAAGACAGCCTCAGGAGGAAGGCTTGTTTGAGAGCCTGCAAAATCTAAACCCCTTTCTCCGAGGATCTCCCCATTTCCCACCCCCCACTTCCTCACACACACAGTTTAGGCCCCTGCAGCCATGTTATATTATATGATCCCTCTATTATGGCCACTGCTTTCTGGACCTGGGTTGGAAATCTGATCCACATAGCAATAAGTAGATTATCTCCCAGAAATTTAGGATACATAAACAAGGAGGTCAAGATAACCATTTTGGGGCTACCATCTTGTGCCATTGAATGAAGATGCAAAGAAAGCTTATCTGCAGAACCAGTGGAGGATGAGCAGATGTTCAGGTAGGAGAGATAAGACCCACACATCCCTGGAAAGAGAGTGGGGGAAAGCAGAGGAATGACAGCAGTCAGCTGCTTTGGTTTCTGGAGGCTTTCCGGGCCCAGGTGCCAGTCGGTAAGCCCGCTGTACTTTCTGCCTTTGCATATTCCATGACTTTCCAATAAATTTCTCTTCTTGCCTGTTTAAATGCCTTTCTTTTTCTTGTATTCAAAGAGAACATTGGTTGAAACACGAGGGTTCTGTGGCATCCTTCTGCCTTTAGGTTGAAGGAGGAAATCCCTTTGGTGCAAACCAGTCTAGGAGTTATGGGTGGTTGTCATCAGTGGACAACAAATAGGCACATCCTAAGTGATGGCCAGAGGCCAGGTGGACAAACCGACTATGTGTGGTTGTTAGGGGCCAATGTGAAGCACAAAGTGAGTGCTCTGACACTATGTAGTAGCAATAAACCCCATCTTGACCTTCTGTCACCCAAGGTGAGCAAGTGCTGCTGTTTTATAGCAACTTGAGCACAAAGTTTATTTCAAACTTTTGCTAAGACATCCCAAGTCCCATAAAAGAGTCTTTGAATCAAAGCCTACTTGGGAGCCCAAACCTTACCCAAACCCCATTCTTCTTGCAGAGAACATATCTCTGTTTCCTAACAGATCTCTTATAGGCAATGGGTCCAACAGTGGCACGTTGGGTTCTCCATGGCTTTGAGGTCTCTGCCAATGGTAGCAGCTTTCTAACACATAACCCGATTTCTTCTGCTGGGCTAATTTCCCACATGATGCATCTTGATATTTTCCTTGTCTCTGTCTCTCTGTCTCCAGCTGTGTCTCTTTTGTTGACTTTTTCTTTTCTGTTTTGTTTTGTTTCGTTCTCTGGCTGACATTTATCAAATGCTTGCTATGTACCAGACTCTATTTGACACATTTTACATTTAGTAACTCATTTAATTCCTCACAGCAATCCCATAAGTGGCACAGAGAGCTTTAGAAACTTGCCCCACATCACTCAGCTAGTATGTGGCAGAGTCATGATACATACCAGAGAGACTGGTTCCAGAACCCACTCTTGTCATCACTGTGCTCTGCTGTCCCTCAGTAGCTTGTTTTTTTCTTTGTCACATCACATTCTCATGCTTTCATAGAAATATGAGTTAAAGGTTGCTTAGAAGAGTTTGTATTTGGTTTCTTCTTTGTGACCTTGTTCTTCTTTCTGCCATGAAAAGGTGAATTCTTACAAGCAAGGATTATACTGTCATCAAGGGATGTTAGACCCTGAACTCATTCAAGGGGACATTTCTATAGGCAGTTTTTCCCTTCAACATATGAATTTGGGGGGCACAAACACTCAGTCCATAACAGTACTTGTAAAGGATGTGTATTCTGTTGAGTGGACTGTTCTGCAATTGTCAGTTACATCAAGTTGACTAAAATGTTATCCAAGTCTCCTACATCTTTATTTTCTTTCTACTTGTTCTATCAGTTATTTAAAGTGGGATTTTGAAATCTCTGATTATACTTGTGGATGTATCTATTTCTCCTTTTAGTTCTATCAGTTTTTGCTTTATGTATTTTGAACTGTGTTATATGAGGTATAGAAACATGTAGCATTTTTATGTACTCCTAATTTATTGAGCACCTACCATGTGACAAGCCTTCTTCTACCTGCTTTCTATACATCAACTCCTTTATTGCTAAGGGCTTATACAGTCATTACTATCTCAGTTTTAGAGAGGAGAAGAAAACTGATGCACAAAGTGGTGAAGAACCTTGTGCAAAGTGTTACATAACAGGATAAAACTCCAAGCAGTTAGATTTCAGAGTCCTCACTTTTGACTGGCATCCTATTTTAGGTGTGGAATGGGGATTAGAACTTTGGGCAAGGTCAGGGTAAGGAATGTGATTAGACCGTAAGCTCTGTTGAAAATTCAGCCTTTTGTTGTAATTGTTGAACTGGTTCAAATCTTGGCACATCATGCACGTCTATTATCCAATGAGAAAACAAAACACATTTCCTGGTAAAACAGAAGTAGTTTATGTTGGAGCCAACCTTTAACTTCCACACGTTTCTATTCCTTTCTCTTGGTGCGTCTGTGTGGCCTGAGAGCTGATCTCTCTCTTGTCCCTGGGTTGTACAAAATCAGTCCCAAGGTGGCTGATGAGAAAAAAGGAAGTATCTTAAATAGACTTTAGCAAGTCCATGAAATCCATTGCCAAAGAAGCTCAAGAGCCAACCCCACTTTGCCAATAGAGCTTCATTCAAGTGCCTCCCTTAACTCCCTTTGTTTCTTACTGAATCACTCAGAGATAGGGCATTGGACTTTAATCAAAGGAAGGGATGTGAGTTTTGGCTTTTCTACTTACTGACTTTGTGACTTTGGGAAAGTGACTTAACAAATCTGTAAAATGGATCTACTAATAGTAGATCTACCAATAGTAATACATAAAACACTCCTTAAATGTGGGGAACTATTATTATAATTATTATCTCTCTTTATAAATAAAGGAGGCCTGCTGCCTCTAGTATCTGCTTGGCAGCCTGAGTCAATACTAATAATCGTCCGTTACTGAGTCCCTTCTGAGTATCAGGCTCAGATGCCTTTTATCTACATGATCTCATTTAACCTTCATTTAACCCAGCAACCTTGTAGGATCTTCTTCATTGTCACGTTTTTACAGAGGAAATCGAGACTCAGAGAGCTTATATGACCTTCCCATGATCACGCCCAGAGTGTATATGGAAGCCAGGATTCAATTTCAATCTGTAAGGAAAGCCACTTTCTTCCACACACTTCCCTTCTACTCCCTCCCTCAAATGATAGAGAGGGTCTCCTAGGCCTGCCACGTACAGCCATGCAGGTTGTACATTAAACAACTCCAGGGAGTGTCATTTTCATAGGCATTAATGTGAATGGTGCCCCTGGAGGTATGCAATGCACAACTTATAGACACGTATGTGGAGGCACTAGAGCAGCTAATGAGTTTCATTCAGAGAGGAGAGAGGACTTTGCTGACAAGCACGTCCTCACCCTTACATTTCTCCTTTCAATCATTCTTGGAGGTGCTTTCCATGCTTTTATAATTCTGAGTAAATGACCTGAAGGGACCTGACCACATTACCTCTAACCATGTGCTGTGATTTTCTTAACATGACGGTAATGGGTATGCCTGCATTTGTAATATTCTTTGGGTATTTACCTTCCGTGTGCCCCTGCATGCCTGCCACCTTCCAAAAAATTGCCGTGAATGAAACTGCCTAGCTGGATTTGGCAGTATGATGCCGAAACATAGGCTAAAGTGAGCTATCTTCTTTGAGTTCATCTTGAGAAAATTCCTTCGTGTACTTGTGTGTGCTTAAGCTGCTAAAGGTCTTAGAGGTAGTCTTCCATGAAACAAACTCTTTCATGTTTCATTTTCCAGAAAATGCAGCTTGGCATCGACCTGTGCCTTTGGCTGTGAGATATGCTTTTATCCAAATGTAGGAAATATGAGTTTAGGGATAAGTTAGAGGACATCAATAGTTTTCATTTGGGCATGTTTCCTTCTTCTCTAGGCCAACTTCATAAATGCTATGGTCCACGGAGGCCTTTCCCTACAGGCTAAGCTTTAATAATGGTGTTTGCACTCAAGGGAGCTGGAGGCAGTAGAAACACTAACTTCCAGTGGCTCTGAGAAGGGTTTATGGTCTGGGCTGGACTCTGTTAATGACTTCATTTAATTACCACTATTTTGTAATAGTTACAAAAGATTATTATACTTCTTTTACATTTATATAGGGTTTTATAGAATGCTTTTAGGAACTTAGATCTATATTATAACCTTGTGAAGTTACATTGATAGATAATTTTATGTCTTGCGGGAGAGAACTCTGGAATGTGAGGCTAGAGATGTCAAAAAAGATGTCCAAATTCACAAAGCAAATAAGAGTCTAAACTTTGTTTGAACTTTCCTTCCCAGGAGGCCATAGCAGTCACTGAATCCATTTGGAGGTCATGGAGACTTAATCCTTTGCTTTTCTCAATTCCTAAGCCCAAAGTTTCACTACAACAATGTGGAGAACATTTAAAACCTCTCCAAATTAGTAGAGTGATTTTAGACTAATTAAAATTGAGTCAGTCTTCCAGTAGAATAAATCCATGTGTTTGTAAACTGCCTCATCCAGAAATAGCCCTGTCTGTAATCCCTTATCTCTTCTACAACAGACAACATAAACAGTAAGGGGCAGAACTCCAATTGCTGTCTATTAAGAATTGCTTCAACAAGAACTACCCCAAGACCAAACAAGTATTCATACCCCAGTGTAAACATGCAGCCCTTATTGGCCTACAGATTTCTAGGGAGGTAGAGTGCAAACATCTCAGGCTATTGATTGTCACTCAGTCAGACTAGGATGCTATATTCATTCTTGAGGATTTGGAAATAACTTTATCCTCTCAGAAATCTGTGCTTACACCTCCCAAGTGGTCCACTCTACTACTTCTGTCTTAAAATGTAGTCTCTGGGGAGCACGAATCTTTTGTGTCTAAATTTGTATGTTGATAGAATCATATACATTAATGTACATCATTAACTGATGACGAATCAAGAAGCCCTTCTTGTTCTCTTTCAACATCTTACGAACAATTGAACAAACTTGAAGGTAGGCTCTTGATGTGAAAGGCATATATTATTTCAGACAATGCAAATATCTTTTAATTAAGTGGAAGCCGATGCTGATCCATAGCCAACGGGGAGTTTAGCAAAGAGATCAGCCTAGACCAAGATTGGAGCAGATTGGAATGAGAGACAGAATTCAGCAAATGGGAGAGTTAAGGTTTGTGGTTTCAAATTTCCTTGTGTGACTTGACATGGTTCCAAAAATTTCTTCTTCGAAGTGAAATATCAGGACAGAAGGTTCCGCTGAAAGTTAGTGTTTCTAACTGCCTCCAGCTACCTTGAAGGCAAACACCTTTATCAAATCTTGGCTGATGGGGTAAGAGTTTATGACATGTAAGCACTAATTTGAAGTGTTTTCTCTGATGAACCAGAAATATCAAAGAAGTCAAGAAGGGGAGACTGAAATACAGGATTGAAAACTCTTTGTTGGAGATAAATACTTGAAAACGTATCTATTCTAGGGTGATGTTTTACAAACTTTCTTTCTTGTCTTAACTGAAAGTACATGTGGGCATATAACAAAAATAAGTAGAGAAAACTGACGCTGTCATGGTTGAATGGTAGGTAGTTATACAGAGCCTGCTTGATCTGCCACCTACACAGCCTCAGGGGAACATCTGAGGCACTTCAGAGCTCTAAGGGTCATAGTGGAAAAGCAGTGGACTAGGAAATTTCTAGAATTTCTTTGTGGGGAATGAGGTGGTTGTTCTGTAACAATTGTTAGAGCAGGCCAGGAAGAAAGGATTGGACTGTGAACTCTTTGATAAGAAGGATCCTAACTTATTCATTTCTGTATTATTGGTGACAAGCACAAGACCTGGCTCATGGTAGGTGCTAATTAATTTAGCAATTTGTTAAATAAATGACTATATCTTAAAAAATCTGCGTTTGAGTGACAAAAGTACCTAAAACCAAAGGAGCATAGGAAAGGAAGTTTATTGAGGGGAATGAGTGTGGGCATTCATTGTGACTTGATTCATGTGTGACTTGATGTCCTCACAATTGTTTACCTGGAGACGTACCTCTTGCTATTTTGTCTTAATGAGGAATGAAGTACATAACACTAATGAATCTTCCAGTTTAATAAAGCTTTACCTGATATGTTGTCAGGTCTAGTTCATAAGTACCCGAGAAGTTGGCTTTAAGAACCCATAAAACCATGACTCTCAAATTTTAGAATGCATAAGAATCATTTCAGGAAACTGTAAAAAACAGAGATTCCTGGGCTGTACTCTAAAAGCCCTGATTCATCAGGTCTAGGGTAGGGACTAGGAGTCCTTATACAAATGGTTCACAGGCCACAATTTGAGAACCCTTGACTGCCCTGGATGAAAGGTGCAAGAGATGAAAGGTAACTGCTTGTTCTCAGGGCTGACACCTACACTTCTAGATTTTGTGAATTCCAGGCAAACTAAGAATTCCAACACCAGTCTTGAAGGCAGCTCTAGAAGCTCCCCCACTCCTCCAGAGATTCCCAGAATGGTAACGTGCACCTTGCAGGCTTCCAGTTAACGCTTGCTGTGGGGCTTACAGGGGTGAAGGCCTGGGAAGATGACCCCAACTCCAGCTGTAGCCTGGATTTGATCTTTTGGCACATTTCTATTCAAAGCCTGGAGTAGCCCCAAAAGTGTTGAGTAGTAGTTGAAATGTGTTCAAAATAATGTGGAAAGCATGACAGAACAACACAATGCAAATCTCTGTAACCACATTCTTTCAAAGAAAGCCATCTTATTAAGAGTCTATTGAAATCTACCAGCAGGACAGAATGGAAAAACCAAATTCCTTTGTGATTTTTATATTTTCCTAGTTGCTAAATATTATGACCTATAAAGGCATGAACTTTAGATGGTAATAACAACTGATATTTGTATACAATAAGTGTTTACAAAGAGCTATTCTAATCAATTAGTCCACAAAGAAGCCTTGAGAAGTAGGTATTCCAGATTTGATTTTAGAATATGAAGTAATTTTTTTAAACAAAGAAACATCTTCTTAAATGATGTTGGTTCCATAATCAGTTCTGATGTCAAAAAAAAAAGTTTTTAATACCTTAGAGGATGGTTGAAAAACTACGTAGCAGACAAGAGCTCCTGAAGGTAAGTTAGAAATGCCTCCAGAATGTTCTGAACAACAGTAGCGTCTTTACAGAAGGTGTAAATTAGTCTCATCATGTGTCATTGGAATGGATCAGTTATGGTATCTTTGTTTCAGCAAAATACTGAACCATCAGTCTTTCACAGCCAAAATATCCAAGATTATTAATGAGGTCTGTCCTCCCAGCTACCCCTCAATCTTGTTGCATCTTACTCAGAAACTGCTGAATGGGAAACACCATAACAAAACTCATAACATCTATAAACATAATTTACACACATCTCTAAGGGAACTGAAGATGCCTGCCAAGAAGCCTTTTGATACTTAATTAGAGTTCTTTTACTGAAACAATGTTTTTCAAACTTTTGGGAACATATGTCTCCCTTTTAATTAACACTAAAAATCTCGAAGTCCATCTTGCCCCCAATTCAATGCCTTCTCCCTTCTTTCTTTGAGAATCACTCTTTTTCATGGATGGAATCTTCTATTAACAGGGATCCTTAAAAATAATCTTCTGCAAGTAGGGAATAGAATAAAGCTATGTGATAACTCTGGGGTAGAAGTTTAAAAAAAAATGATGGCTTTTATTCATCCCCATGGTCTTACCCTCACTGTATTTAGCCTCGCACAATTCACTCCCCTCTTTGGTCCTTCCCATTTTTCATTTATGAACCTCAATCTCACATTTCCTTCCAGCTACGATTTGCTTTAATACGCCAGCAGAGATATGACAGAGTTATAAATTGTGATCATGACTGGTGGGAAATGTAAAGTAGCTGGCTTTTTTCCCAGTCAGATAATATTCAGATGGGACTCTGGAGAGCAAGAACACTGCATGGCAAGGAGGGGAGAAAAGTATTAAGAGTTATGATCAGTGTTAATCTATTATATAGATAAGATCTGGTACAGGAAACATGGATGCAAGCATATCTAAGTGACTATAAAGCCAAATCAGTCCAAGAGGAAAACCACTATTCCCTTGCCCAGAAGACTTTGAGCTCTGTTCAAATAACTGCTGCTAATAAAGTCATCCATAATGGAAGAGCCACTGTAATGGAAGGGCCTGGAAGTGTTTTCTTTCCCTGGCGCTTAGGCGGTGGCAGTTTGCAGCAGTACTCTTGGCAGAAAATGGATGTGTGTGTGTTCTGACAAGGACTGAATGGTTCTTACCCTTCTAGGAATGCCAGCTGGACTGTCATCCTGAAGCTGTCTAATATAATAAATGGGAATTAAGCAACAAGAGTATAGGCTGAGGGCTGTGTGGAGACAGGAAAATGGCCCAAAGAGCCATAAGGATAGAAGTTTCTTCTAAATAATTGTTGGCATTTGTATAAAATTTGGTCTTGACTGACACCTGCCTTCCAATTCTTATAATAAATACTCTACAGATAAACAACACTTTTTAAAAATTGTTACACTACGAAACTAATTATTTTCTTCATCGAAGAACTGCATTATATGCGTTTTATCACTGAAATTGCATATAAATGTAGACAGCATTTGTAGAGCCTTAAAAAAAGGGTACAATTTTTAAGGATATTGTCTAAAAGATATATACCAAATTTTTTAAAGAGATAATCTCTAGGTGATAAGATTATAATTGCTTTTTTTCCTACGTTCTTTTCTTTCCAGTTTTTTAAAACATAAGCATGCATTATTTATATATTAAGAGAAGTATAAATGTTATTCAAAAACAATGCAGTGATAATTGCTAACAACTTTGGAGACCTTTTTCTGTGCCAGGTTCCTGGCTTGACATTCTGCATGCGTTGTCTGTTTTAATTCCCCCAAATACCCTTTGAGAGTGGAACTCGCATTGTCTACATTTAACCAATTCAGAAGCGGGCTTATCAAGGTTCAGTGACTTACTCAAGGTCATATATGGTAAGTATATGGCAAAGCCAGGACTTTAACCCAGGTGTTTTGTGACTCTAGGGTCTTTGGCCTAAACTCTGTTGATAGAATCAGTACACCTCTTCAACTTTCCATTGCTGTCAAATCCTAATAATCTCAATAGGATCTAACCACTAAAACAATCCTTCTAACATGGCAAATTCTGCATTCTTATCTCAATAATCAGATTTTTCCTTCACTTCTTACTGTCTTGCTCTCTCGCTTTCTTTTTTTTAACTTAACCCCAGGAACTTAGTATTTTGAAAAATCTACAAAATACTTGATTCTGAAACTCAGTCTTATTTGTCAGGACTCTAGAGGGCCTAGGAGATTGGCTGAAAATTCATGGATGTCAGAAAATTTTTTACTTTCACAAAATCTTTTTTTTCTTGTGAGTTGCATCTCTCTTTTTAAAAGGAGAGAGCTCACATGATTTTGATTGAATAAGAGTTCTTTTGGTGAGTTCAGCTTAATGGAGGACTTATTATATTCCCTGGGGAAAAGCACAGGCACTCACCAGTCAGAATGGTAGTCTTCTGTGTTATAGAGGCCCTGCTGGGCCTTCAGTTCATAGACAATGGGGACGTCTAGAAGGATGGAGTGAGTAGGGAGAGAACAGGGCAGCCAAAGCAAGAGGAAGATACTTAAGGAGTAGGACTAACAGCTGTTTACTAGAGAGTCTGGAAGTACAGTTGCTCTCATTACTTGTGGCAGTTGTGTGCTATAAAGTTGCTGTGAACACTGAATTGGTGAACACTGAACATTGCTCAGAGGGAAAATACAAAGTTAGGTTCCTGAGAGCCTCTGGTCACAACATTTTTGTAACTGATCCACAAATAACCTTGTTTTATGTGTGTTTCTGTTTAAAGAGACATTATTTAATATATATTAGTGATTAATTAACGTCGAACTCATGGCCAACAGCCCTGAACTAAACTTATTTTCTCCATCAGCAGATCACAGCCTTTCTCTGCTTAGGCACACTAGAAGAGCACTTCAGCAATATGCTTGGGGGCCACTTAAAACAGTGAAATCACCCACAAAAAGCACAAAAATGTGAAAAACATAGCACTACATAGACCATGAAAAGGACACTGGTTTATAGTATGAGAGCTGAAACGGGAAGACAGTGTCACCTTGTTCCACCTCAGCTGGGAACGTGTGTATCAGTTGACTCAAATTTTTTGCTGCTCTGCATGTGTCCATAAATGACCATGAAAATGCCACAAGAACTGATTTTGGGGTTACAAGTAAAGTTTAGCAATCAGGCAAATTTGCAAATATGCAATCTGTGAATAATGAAGATCCACTGTATTTTAATATTTTAGTGTCTAGTAAGACCATACTTATGCATAAGCTGAACATCAGCAGTGGTATATAATTCCATGGCCTTGGGCCATGTAACCTTGCTAGGTGAAGCTGACCTTCTCCCTCACACCTTATTCTACCATCTGTGCCCCTGCTCTGACTGGTGCTTAGGCTCTGGCAAATTACTCCCTCCTTTGTCTTGTTTAAACTCATCCTGTAAGCCTGTTGAATATTCAACCTCCTTCATAATATCATCCTGATAACCTTAGGCAATATTAGCCCCCCTGATCATAAATATCACTCCTTAATGATATCTTGCTTCTTAACACTGGGCTCTTTCTTCTACATCTACCTAAGTGTTACTCAACAGAGTGGCTCCTTTGGGACTGTGGCCTGTCCCTTTCGTGTCTCTCCTTTCCCTCTCCCTCCCCTATTAAGCTTGCTTTCACAGAGTTTAATAAGATTGACTTTTAGCCAGTCATAGGATGCAAAAGCTCTTATGGACCGCTGGATTCAAAGTTATACGCCTAGATTAAAGTTTTAATTACTTGATCTAGCTTAGAATTTTAACCCTTAAGTCATTTTCTTAACAGATCCAATTCAGTTCTACTACAGACTGCATAGTTCCTCAAGCTCTGAATTTTGAAATTGTTCAATGCTACATTTTCAGAAGCATATATTGATATTTCCAATGCAGACTGAAGTCACTTTCTCTGCCTTGTTATAGAGAGACAAGTCAATGTCTCCAGTGACTTGTATAGAATAAGTGAATATAGTCACTTGAATTCCCATGTAAAGATTTTATTCTCAGATCAGTCCAATCCTGATTAATCAAATCCAAGTCTGCCTTCCTTGGCACAAAGTAGCTGCTGATCACACATTCTTGGACTTCTCAACCTGCCTTGGAATTTCTATTTCTCTCTCCTCACCCACTGCCATGGCACTTATCACATACAGCCTTGTATTATAGTGATTTGTGTGCATTTATCATCTCTCCTCAGAATTATTAACACCTCAAAGGCAGGAATTGCGTTTCAGTGGATTTTGTTCTCACTCTAGCCCTCAATACCTAGAAAGTATGTAAGTATGTTTTCATTAATATATTAATTCATTCATGAAATGAGTACCCACCATGTGCCAGAGATTGTTCTAAGCCCTAAGGGAGAGTTGGGAGTAAACAAACATCCCAGGCCTCATGGAACTTAGATCATAGTGGGGGAGACAGACAACAGCGAGAATGAATAAAATGCACAGTATGTTTAAGATTTCTGAGTGCTAAGGGGAGTAATAAAGCAAAGGAAGAGTAGAGGTCATGTTGGCTGGGATGGTGGTGGGAGTTGTCGCACAATTTTATCTAGGGTAGCTAGGGAAAGCTTCACTAAGAAGGTGACATTTGATTAAGAGCCTAGAGGAAGTGAGGGGACCATGGACCTAACTGGAGGGAATCCCAGTTAGAGGGATTCCCAAGAGTAAAAGCTTGAGGTGGACACATGCTTAGAGGTTGTGAGGAACAGAGAGGCTAAAGTGGAGTGAGTGGCTGGGAGTGTATAGGAGAGGAGAGCAAAGAGGCCAGGCCACGGAGATCCTTGTAGGCTCTTGTGAGGACTCTGGGCTTCATGCTTCCATAGAATGCCATGGGAGGGATTGTGCAGAGGAGTAACATGTTCTGACTTTTTAACATGCTTGCTCCAGCTGCCGTGTGGAGAGTAGACTACAGAAGCAAGGTTAGAATTGAATAGAGAGTTGAGAGACAGTTGTGGCTTGGACCAGGGTGTAGCAGTGAAGATGGTGAGCAGTGCTCGGATTCTGGTTAAATTTTGAAGGTAGAACAGACAGAATTTACTAACATATTAAATGTAAAGTGTGAGAGAAATAGAGGAATTTGGCTTGAGAAACTGGAAGAATGGAGTTTTCGTTTACTAAGATGGGCGTGTTTATGGAAGCAGCAGGATTTGGGATGAAGGAGAGATAGAAGCTTGGTTTTTGAGACATTAAGTTTTAAATGTCTATAGAAATCCTACAGAGATGTCATTTAGGCAGATGGATATAGGAATCCAGGATTCAAGGGAGAAATGTGGGCCAGAAATACAAATTTGAGAGTGATCAGCATACAGAAAACATTAAAATTGTGAAACTCAATGAGATTCACAAAGAAAATAGCATAGATAGAAAAGAGAAGAGATCATTCCAATACAGTCATGCGCCACATAATGACCTTTTGGTCAACTACAGACTGCATGTATGACGGTGGTCCCATAAGATTAGTACCATATAGCCTAGGTGTGTAGTAGGCTATACCATCTAGGTTTGTGTAAGTACACGCTATGATGTTCGCACAACGATGAAATCGCCTAATTCTGCATTTCTCAGAACCTATCCTTGTCGTTAAGAGACACATGACTGTATTTAGGGTGAGGAATGAACAAAGGAGACTGAAAAGGAGTGGAGAGAGAGATAGGAAGAAGACCAGGTAAGTGTAATGTCTTTGAAGCCAGATTAAGAGAGAATTGCTAGAAGGAGGAACGGAGCCACTGTGTCAAATGCAGCTGATGGTTTAAGTGAGAAGACGACTGAGCACTGTCCAT